TATCATTTACTCAGAAGTTAAAATATTACAACTTAATTAATTAACTTACCCCGACTTTTTGAAGGAACGATGGAATGTGCGTCATATCTGTGGTTGGTAAGAAAGATTTTCACAAATCAGATAATCTAATTGTGCTAGATTGGAAAAATCTAACACAATGAAAGACGGTTCATATGGATTTGTGCGCATGCCAAGTCTGAAGACGCTGACTGGTAGTGCTGGTTATTTGATCTATAGCTATTATTGGTGACGGTAGCAATTTGAATAGCAGGCCGTCCCCATGTTTGTCCTTGTTTTTAAAATGACGTATGCTGAAAAAAACAAAAGGAATCACTCGTCTCAACGGTTGACTAACAAAATGCAACTAACCGGCCCTTGCTGTATTCTCATATAGCAAATTGCAATATTTGGCGATTAAGGCACTGGTAATTTCTACTTCTTCTTTTGCTTTTTTTTCATATCTCTCTCTTCAGAGAAGGTTATAATAGATAAGATATTATGTGATTAATTGACCTTGCCTCCGGTTCCTCTTACTTGTGACACAAATGAACTCTAGCGCGTTCTTACATACAATACAATACAGTACATAAAGGCTACGTTTGTTCTGCTGGATATCACTATGAAATAACACAGAATTTCGTACCAGCATTTAAAGACCAGAAAGATATAGAACTCATGTAGATGACTGCGTTCATGATTAGAACACATGATACTACATTCACACGAATAAAATTCTCAATAGGTGGCTCCATTTCTTAACGACATGCCATATGAAAAAGCTTATAGACAATGATAAAATATAAACTTGTCTTATTACAAAATTCAGTAATATGTTGGTAATATCTAATTTGCATGCTGGTTGCATATTTATGCATTGAGACAATGATATACATGTATATATTTAATAGATAGAAAAATACATACAAGTTATAATATAGTTATAAGGATTTATCTGAAAAGGACACTTGTTGGTGTATGAACAAGCACGCATGCACAGTTTTGATTTTAAAAAAGATAAATAATTAAACAGCATTGTTGTAGGACGCCATAATGCAGAGAAAGACTGTCATTTGAATGATTTTTGTTTTGTGTTTTGTCTTTTTTGCTAAATAACCAACATTCAAGTTCTTTATTACCTCAAGTCAATTGACACATCGGATACAGGAAAGTAACACCATAAAATATTTATTACAATATACAAACACATGATGCCAGACCCGTAGAGAGCTCAATTGATCTCTTAAAACGTGAGCAGGCTTGATATATTTTTCTTTTGTGTTTTTAACATTAAAAAGTTATAAAAAGTTTAAACATATTAGGCTTTTAATAATGATACTTTTTTTTCAAAAAGATTTTTCTTGGGTCCATGAAACAAGAACTTTTCAATAAAAATAAATGTCAAAAAAGATTGAAAGATCAGTTATGAAAAAACGAAGGAATCAATTAACTTGGAGGACAGTCGACTCGAGGCTAGGTAATAATCTGTAGGTATAAATTGGAGGCAATCAATAAACTTGACGGACAGTCGACTGAAGGTTAGGTATTAGTCTGTTGGTATAAATGGGAGTCAATCTACAAACTTGACGGACAGTAGACTGAAGGTTAGGTATTAGTCTGTTGGTATAAATGTGAGTCAATCAACAAGAGACCAATAGGCTTATTGAAATTGCTTGATCTAGACTAAAGGATTTCTCCTATTAGGTCACACCCTTCTGCCCCAAGGAGTTCAAGTGACCACTTCAAGGATGTATCAGACCATAAATATTTCCCTTTTGGGGTCCGTCCCTTTGGCCTGTGGAATAACGAGACCCACTTTTCATATCGAATCGGTTTGTCGTCACCCAAGGATGTGTTAAAGAAATTGGGGCAGAATGTTGACTTTCTTTTCAATACATATATATGTCTGCAGTCCGATTAATTTTTCTAGTGGTACGAAATATACAATGCAAGTTGTGCGTATTAACATTGAGTGTTGCCTCGAGTATAAAAGTATGGTCCCCAAATTATTCCTTAATTAAATATTAAATGTTCATAGAAACAATCGGAAATGTTATCATTAAACTCTTAGTTTTGCGATTCGTGACAAACTAACAATTTACATAGGCGCCCTCCTGAAATAGCCCCAGTCAATTACAATTTTATTGTTATTATATCAATGAGAAGAGAAAGAATGCATAACTTTGTTATCAAATTAAACAACTGCTGAATATAGCAAGGCCTTAAACACACCAAACAAAGACATAACTGATAGAAAAAAAAAAAAAAAACAGAAAAAAAACAACAAAATCTAGATGTCGTACATTATATCGTTATGAACATGATTAGATCAAGGTCTATAAGTTGTCGTGGCTGATACTATATTATTGATATGTAATATGTATTGAAGTGTAGGAAAACCACAATAAGATAGGTGGAGCAGAACGTTTTACATTGTCTAAATAAGCTTTGGCCGTTTTAGCTATGGACGTGTTTTACAGTGAGGGCATGACTGTTGTAATAAGTGACATTTTTGCATTGAGGCCGTTTTAACTTGGGGCGTTTTGCAGTGAGGCCTTTTAAACTTGGGACTTTTTGCAGTGAGGCCGTTTAAACACAGTGAAATGAGACACGTTGTTTGTCAGTTTGTTTTGGTTATTTCACTGACAACACCATGGAGATCAAATGGGGGTGGGACAACACCAGGGGGATCAAATGGGGGTGGAACAACAAGCAGCTCAATACAGCAAGAATCCTGTCACGACCCTCCTTCTCTAGCTTCGGGAGGGGGAAGATTGATTAATTCTACAGCCTACAGATATTGGTGTCACAGTGGCTATTCTTTGCAGGGATTCAATTACATTTATTGTATCAACAACGTATGGGTAGGACCCATTCCGCAATGTGTCCTGAAATATGCCAACCCATCACTGGACACTGTCATCAAAGTGAACCGGGAAATCAAACAAGGCGAATCACGTAAGTTTCACATTATCTGCATGTTTTCAATCATTTAGATATTTATCATTTTAGATACAATACATATTTCAATACATATCCATTAATTTCTGCACTTAATTAATTCGTGGATAGATCAATTACCATAATCGCGAAAATTCTTTTCAGATCTCACCTTCTATGAACTATTTCATTTTCGGAACTCCTTAGATCAAAGAGTCAATCATCCATCTTGCAGGTTTTGTTTTGTATACCTTTACTGTAAATACGCATTTTGTTTTTTTACCTTCACTTCGTGCCATAAGCTGTGCTGACATAGTGATCGTCACTGTTGAAATCTAAGTAAAACACCCTTTTATTATTACTTTGTGCGACACAGTAATTGGCACAATACATTATTGCTGATGTTCAGGTCACGTACTACATTCACTGAAAAAAATCAGTACAAAAAAGGAATTCAAATTAAATATATTTGTGGATTACTGTTCATCCCGTAAATCTACAAATCACACAGTACCTATAGACTTTAAACTAAATCACAAATGAAGACATCACTTATTACAGCATAATTTAAAACCTCGGAGGAGACAAGATAATATTAAACCTATAAACGTGATGTTAATGATGTGAACACGAATTCTCTTACTAAAACCTCGGAGGTGACAAGAAAATAGTATACTTGGAAACGAGATGTTAATGATGTGAACAGGAATTTTCTATCAGAACCCTCGAATGAGACAGAAACATATTATGCCTGTAAACGTTATGTTAATGATGTGAACGGGTATTATCTATCTAAAACCTCGGTGTTGACAAGAAAATATAATGCCTGTGAACGTTATGTTTATGATGTGAACGGGAATTATCTATATTAAACCTCGGAGGAGACTAGACAATATTATACCTGTAAACCTGTTAATGATGTGAACTTGAATTCCCTATCTAAAACCTCGGAGGAGACAAAACAATATCGTACCTGAAAACGTGATTTTAATGATGTGAACAGGAATTTTCTATTAGAACCCTCGAAGGAGACAGAAACATATTATACCTGTAAACGTGATGTTAATGATGTGAACTTGAATTCTCTATCTAAAACCTCGGAGGAGACAGGACAATATTATATCTGTAAACGTGATGTCAAAGATGTGAACAGGAATTCTTTACTTAAAACCTCGAAGGGGACAGGAGAATTTTTAACCTATAAACGTGATGTTAATGATGTGAACACGAATTCTCTTACTAAAACCTCGTCGGAGACAAGAAAATAGATAGTTAAATATTATAACTGTAAACGTGATATTAATGATGTGAACAGGAATTCACTATCTAGAACCTCGGTGGAGACAAGACAACATGATATTTGTAAACGTGATGTTAATGATGTGAACGGAAATTCTCTATCTAAAACCTCGGTGGAGACAGGACAAAATTATACCTATAAACGTCATGATAAGTATGTGAACAGGAATTCTCTCTCTAAAACCTCGATGGAGATAGGACAATATTATACCTATAAACGAGATGTTAATGATGTGAAAAGGAATTCTCTGTCTAAAACCTCGGAGGAGACAGGAACATATTATGCCTGTAAACGTTATGTTAATGATGTGAATGGGAATTCTCTATGTAAAACCTCGGTGGAGACAGGACAATATTATACCTATATACGTGATGTTAATGATGTGAACAGGAATTCTCTGTCTAACACCTCGGTGTTGACAAGAAAACATTATGCCTGTAAACGTTATGTTAACGATGTGTATAGAAATTTTCTATCAGAGACCTCGGAGGTGACACGAAAATAGTTTATCTGTAAACGTGATGTTAATGATGTGTACGGGAATTCTCCATCTAAAACCTCGAAGGAGACAGGAAAATATTATTCCCATAAACGTGATGTAAATTTTGTTATTGAGAATAATGAAGTTTCTATCTTCATGTGGTGTGGACTGGTATTGTGCTGTCTTTATATAGGCTTTGCATAGTGTTGTGACATCTATAAGCCCTACTGGGTAGTTAATAGTTTTAGAGTTATCGCCCTTGGCAGGTTCTCAGAAGAACTGTAAACCGAAAGCACGGTACTATACATTTCACCAAGTTTCACACTCATGGAGATCCACATAGTGTAAGTGATACAAATAATAACATTCTGGGATTTTATACGAGTGTATAGATACTTGATGTCGACCATATATTTGTCTGGATTCATCTGGAGGTTATCCTATATCGAAACATTTGTATTGGACATTCCGTCCCATTTCAATCGAAATCAGATTTGTGTTTAACTCAAAACATCTGTATGGCCTATCGTAGGTTAGTTTACTGCAAATTACTGCATCATGTAATGTATTAAATACCTTATTGTTTTTATGAAATTACAGGAGTGTAATTGTGGAATTTGAGATTCCAACGTTAATTGTCTATACAACGAGAACACGTCGTTGTTCTAATTTTCGCTCTTATTATTGTGAGAAATACCATGGTATTCATTATCATTTGGTGTCTTGCAGTCCGTCAGTCATGACAGTACAAGTATAGTTAGTCTTTATGTATAACATTGAATTTGAAACATTTTGGTTAAATTTTCACGTCTAATCAAAGTACTGAGAGTACTGAAATCCCCATTTTGTACTCAGTCATTTGAATATCTGTTATTTTGTATTTCCAGCTTTTACTGTATGTAAGTTTACATATGAAAAGGATTTCTTGGAATATCTAGTGAAGTCTTATCTGTTACGGAGAGACTTGGTTTTGTGTGTAACAGAACAGGTATCTCATTCCGAAAGCAATACCCGGGAAAGCCTGGTGTTAATCTTTAAAAGAAATATCCCCAAGGATAATTATGATAATTATGTTAACATCACACAAAGTTCATAGATTGTTACTCTCATACACTCTCTGATTTCAGTCTGACTGTATATATCACAACATTACAATTTGTCCGTGAAATATGACTCGAAAGTGATGACGTTACACAGTTGAGACATATGGCTAATGCTCAACATATACCGATTTCACACATTTCCACTTTTTAATTTTATTTCTGTTGGGAAAGACTGGATTTGGGAATTCACATTTTACGTTGGAACAAATACGGGAACAACTTTTTAGCATTCGCTTGTCTTTTCTCTTCTCTTTTGAGTAAATTATTTTTACATATCATATTAGTATTTATAAATATTACCAATAATCAATTTCAATTTTCATTTAGTTTTCATTTTCTTACAGTACCGGAATGGTTCCTAATGACAATTCTTGGATGCTTGGGTTTTGCAGCTCTCTCCGCCATTGTAACCATGCTGTTGTGTTGCTTACATATGATTGGGTAAGCTTCTGTCTTAAAAGAATCACACCCAAACAAACACATAAAAGTAAAGAAAATATACATTATTCACCCTAGACAAATTATTCACTCACTATTTATGAGGCCTTCAATCATCAAGCTCATTGTGAACTTGAGAACTCGACATAACTTCCTTGGATTGTCCAAGAATCACATGGCGGATATTGTCGATGAAGACTCTAAAAGATGACGCGGTCAAATTATCTTAGTACTTTTCAAGAATCTCCGCGTAAATCTTTCTTTTGTTTATATTTTGCCCTAGTTTTATTGAAACTTAGTTTTGGTTATACTTAAGTTGACGTGGTGATTTTTTTTCTTTTCTTTTCATATTCTGCTTTTAAAATATCACTCATATCAACAATCAGACACAGATAATTTGATAATCTTGAGATGGTGTAAGCCGTTTACAAATATGTTAGGTTAAAACTACCGCGATGCATTCTGGGAGATATATTAACCTGATTGGTCGATTTCAAATGAAATGATATTTAGAATAATGAGTGACTTGATTTTATTTGTTATTATTGTATATAGACTATACGTTTGCTCATGGTTTATCCACCATTCCATGCTGTTGGTTATAGATGCTACTCTGGTCCCGTCATGTCATTTGGAGCCAGACACGTGTATCCTAAGGGACCACTCTGTACCTGCCGAGATTATTGTTGTTGCTGCTGTAGATGTTGTAAATTCTGTAAGATGTGCTGCGTTGGTGATGAGGTCAGATTTATCATATACGTTACATGACTTTAGGCCACGAATCAAACTTTTTTTCTCAAACTCCATTTGCATATATCTATCAGAGAATTTTCAAGTTATCATTGAAATATTGTAGAATTGTGAGGCACAATTTTCGCAATTTTGTAATCACTATTTCATGGACACATGATTTCGTGGATAAATAAAGACGAAAAAATAATTCCCCAAGAAAATATATCAAAGTAACGTACTTGAATAACATACATCACATGTGTTATAGCTGTGATTGACTCAAGGACTCGTTTCTAATATCTCACATGTATGGACAGTCATGTAGGATTCTCTTTATAAATTACAGTTTTTACCAAAAAACAGCTCCTATTGCACTAAGTATTAGTTCATTAATTTCAGTTTCATTTCATTAATATCTTAGAATGGAAGAAAACCCTTGCGTGCTGTAGGACTTTTGTATATGGTTTGGTATCGAAATACTTAAATATCAATTAACAAAACAGAAAATATTGATTTGTGATCCAGCTGTACGGTTGTAAGTGAGCCTTATATTTCCAATATGCACTGGTCATCGGTTATGGGCCACCAATTACAGTGCGAAAATTTAATAAAACCCGATTTTTCCTTTTGCAAAAAAAACCTTTCTGTAGTATCCCATTTTGTGTTTAGTGTCCCTTGCCACCAAGCCATATACCCAACTTAACGATAATCAAGATAAAACTGGGGTACACCGGGATCTTACAAGACACAAGTTGTAAATACAAGAAAGTAAAACTATTTCTGGGCTTTGAGAATGCTTTTAAACCCCACCTTTTTAAAAAGATGCAGCACTTCCGGTTTTGTAAATTTCCTCTCACGTCTTCTGTGCATAGTTTCATTAGGTGCCTTCACACATTCTAATATATCCTGTTGGGCTTTAATGAATACTGTTCTTAATGAAGCTAACAAATGTAAGCCCAATCTCCGATATTGCCGTCCCTAACCAAGTTTACGAGTTTCCTACCTCAAATAAACAGATCACTTTTATTTATTTTTAAACAAAATGTGCATGACTGTATATATATATATATATTTACACATTTATTAAAAAATAGTTATTTAAATTTGAATGCAAATATTTTTTCTCGTTATTCTTTCAGGGTGACGGCGAAGAAAACATTGATGAAGAAACGAAACTTTCAATGATCAAAAATGAAGACGATAATCAGTACCCTGAAAAATCCCCAGAAGTACAAAAAGAGGGAAATAATGTGGATCACAATAAAGGAAAGAAAAGTGTTCAACAAGACAAAACAAGTGTGAATAAAGGACAAACAGCAGGTCCGGAGGAGGAAAAATGAGGATTATTTTCAATACATATACTAATATTGAACAGGAATAGTTGTGTGAACGGTTAATAAATTAATAGGTAAGATTAAATTATTCAAAATTATGCTAGACATAAGTCAGATGTTTCATCATAATGTATCTGCCTTTGTCAATTTAGTACTGACATCTACTGTGAACAATTATGTATTGACCAGGGGCCAGAGGTATTCTGTCGTTACTGATCTACTACACATGTTCATGTATTAGTTCGTTCCCTGATTATATAAGTCATTATCTGAAACCTATCTAAGTAGTTTGCATAATGGTCAGTGTAACCTTATCTTGTTTTAAACAGCCGAATCTATTGCCCTTAAATGTGTGCAAGACCATGTTGATAACTCATGTATACTTCAATCAATGTTTACCTGTTAGTTAATATGTATAAGTACTTCATCAGTTAATATCAGTTCCTGAATGCCAGATAGGAGAGAGGCTAGTCTCCACTGGCGGGACCCCCGCTCGCTTGCTCGGGCTTTTGTCAGAGCAAGAACATCTCAACTCTGGTCAACTTATTAAATTGTTACAAGTTTTCATTTTACTGGCGCCGTGACCTCGGACACAATTGTGATACAATTACCGGTCGTTCATTGTCAACTCTACGATTTCTACATTGAAAGAAACATTTAACAAGTTTTCATCATATTTGTTACCATAACACGTTTTTCATCATACTGGCGCCGTGATTCAAACAAACCTGTCAGTCAACAATGAAGAATCAACAACCTACAGGGAAAAAAAACAACACCAACTTATGACCATTATGCCATGTGATTTGTCTGAGGAGGTACCCTTTGAAGAGTGTTTATGAACTAAGCTGTGTCTTTTTTTATTCATCATATTTTTTATCATCGACGCAGAAATTCTCCTTTACATTACAACACGGAAACTTATTATATGTTATCTATTAGTCATGGTGGGTACCCAACGTGGTTGTACACTGGGTTTTTAAATGTTATTAATACTCTACCATATACTATGTATTCATCACATATACAACACGCTGATGTTTGGAAATTAGGCCTGAAGCAGTTATAATGGCAGGAGCAATCTACGTTTAATCTTTTTTCTCATCTGAAGCATAAACTTATCTATTTACAAAGAACTCTGTGAAAATTATTTTTGATCATCTGTCTCAGCCATGCAGTGTGCGAAGAATCATCCCTGATAGAAAAGACGGTAGTACGTCAGATTCAGGACTTCCATTATCTTTCATCATTTGTTATAATTGTAATTACACAGCATACTATTCACATTTTTATTGGATTACCATCTTTTGACATTTCCATTGGATATCGGACATCCGGAATGGACATTTTGAATTCTTAAATTTGTACTGTTTATTATCTATAGTTAGTTTCCTGGTATAGTATATCATCATTAATTGATGTCTAATTAAGTTTTTGAACCTATATCTAATTTTACCTTTATAATTGAGAAATCATTTGCTGTTATCAACTCTGAAACTTCTATATTTACATTTTAAATACAAATATGTATATAAGAATATTTTATATATCCCTTGTTATAAAATGAGAAAAAGGTAATACAGAGTTAAATATGTAATTTCAATTTTTAACATATTGCCTTTTTTGACAACTATTGTTACACATATAATACATTTTTGTCTAGTGATATTTACAAGAAGTATGGTATAAACAATGTTTTCTTCAAATGAGATATTTTAGAAGTATTTAGTCAATTAACATGACTTTTTGCACATGCTTTACCAATTATTCAGACAATACTGGCTTTTATCAATTTGTAATAATGAATTTATAATTCAAGCTTATATCACAAATACACCGGTAAGTATATGTATGCATTTATGTCCATTATTAATAAGTAATCCGGGTAATGACAATAGTTCATCTTTAAGATTTAACAAAATATTCTTAATTCCTGGTTTTATCAGATCTGAATGATCTAATTGTGTATTTTTTAAACATTATCTTGAAATGTTTAAAATTGTGTTGTTTTATATATCATTATCCTCAGAGAGTTCCAAATCAATTATGTTTTAAACATGTTCACATAACTATCATTTACACAGTATATGGAGAGTTTTGCCTATACATGATATTACACGGGGATTAAAATGTTTAAACTCTTCCATTTTATGTCAGAGTCGAAGAAATCCGTGACGTGGTTGTACACGCACAATATTTATATGAAATACTTGTGTTACTCATACGACATTCACATATAACACAAATGCATACTTGTATTCGGATGATTCCCGAAACATTTCTATATCTATAACATAATGATAATTTTCTGACTTTATTCCATTATCTCGTCTACTGTACTAGTCATAGCCTTATAGTGAGCGTGACGCCATGGCTTCGTATAACAGCCAGTGGTACGTCGTAACTAAGTATACTTATTCATTTTTCATTATTTAATTGTAACACGGCACAATCAAAACATTTCATGATTATTGAAATTTACCAACGTTAAGCAATAGTCCAGTTGATTTTTTATTTTTTTTTATCAAATTGTACGTCTTTACCAATCACAAATAAGTTTCATGGATATAACTATTTTTTCTATTATTACAAAGGGACGTAATGAACTATATATATTATCATAGATGATGTCAAATCGTAACTAATTTGGAATCAATTTTATACAAAGGGACGAATGATCTATTAAAAGTTAATATCCAAGATTAAATTATTCAAAATTGTGCTAGACAAAAGTCAGATGTTTCATCATAATGTATCAAATTTGTTAATTTAGTACTGACATCTACTGTGAACAATTATGTATTGACCAGTGGCCAGAGGTATTCTGTCGTTACTGATCTACTACACATGTTCATGTATTAGTTCGTTCCCTGATTATATAAGTCATTACCTGAAACCTATCTAAACAATTTGTATGATGGTCAGTGTAATCTTATCTTGTTGTAAACAGCCAAACCTATTGCCCTTAAATGTGTGCATTTTATGTATGTCGACTTGTATACTTCAATCTATATACTATATTGCAAATCGAAAGCAATTCCCATTAATGGCGTGTCTTACATGTACATGTAGGATAATTGTCATTGAAATGTTTAACTGCGATATAATCGTACAAATTTTGGCAATTTGCACTATTTGTAATTATGTGTTATATCTGTTAAGAATATTGACCATAATACAATGTCTTGAGATAGCGCGCCGTATAAGCTGGATCTTTGCCATGCAGAAGAAAAAAAAAGATAAAAAAGCAGAAGCTTATGTTTAAGACACTGATAATGTATTCTATTGATGAAAAATTCAGATTATCAAACATTAAAACTGTGTTGTTTCATTTGTGATTAAGTGAATCAACCCTAATGATGTACACCCAATTACACTATCAAACTTGAATGGATATTGTTTAGCAACCTTATGAATTCTTGTTAATAAACTTGTTCATTTTGATAAACAAAATCGCTTCTTTATACCACAGTTGATGTTTTTGATGTAATATTTAAGTAAACGAGAACGCAGTCTCAGCGAATATTACTAAAATGTAGATAGTTCCCGTTATCTCTAGATGCAGCAAAAATATATATACCAGTTGTGTTTGAATAGATAATACCTGGTCAGTGTGTTAAAATGTGAGATGTAGAGCCGAACCTTTACTGGGAACTGAGGGGTCACATTTTATAAAGTCAGGTAGGAAGTTCCAGGGGCCAGTCACGGTAGGTTAAAAAGATGTTTGACCAAATTTGTGTTACAAGTCTTGGGAGGAGATTATTAGCAACACGGGTTCGGTTATTGCCAGTTGGAGGGTATGTTCTGAAGGACTTTGGGCACCAGTCTATATATCATTTTAAGAAATTAATAATTCTTTGTTGTTCTCGTCTTCGCTCGAGAGAAAATCCAATCACATAGGACCATTCGTAAGTGAATCGCCATGCCAAATTCAAGAACCAGTGAGAAATAGAAAATTGTACTCATATCTAAAAACAAATTTTGCCATTTTTTCCAATAATTAATAATAACAAAACTTGTCCGTAAGTGTTAGAGATATTTGGCGTAATATTCGTTAGTTCCCATTGAGAAGGAAACACTCTGGAATTGTACTATTTATTGACAAGAAAACAGAATGGACTGTTAAATATATTTACGGCTTTCTTGTATTCTAGGATTTCAGAGATCTGGACCGATAGCGTTGGGACAATAGCATCCTTAAACATATGTAGCCGTTATGATTACAGTTGACAAAATTTTGTTAGTTTGGTCATCAATAGTAGGGAGGTTATCATCAATGTTGGACTGAACAGAGCAACAATCAACAAACAAACCTTTTGAACTGTCTGTGACTACAGTCATTATATAGATCAGTCGAGATGCAAATCATCTACCAGAGTTCGGTAATGATAAATCAAATTGTACCAATATTTTCAGGTCTTTTACACTTTCAATATAAAGTATCAACATATTGCATTTATTGTGGTATAATATTGACAAATGGATTTCCAATATCACAAAAAGACTTGATTGTCACGAATGACATTCTCATTTTTAGGGGTAAAATGCCTCGCTTTTTTATTTTGTTCTTTTTGAAGAGTTATTGCCCCTTTTCAGCAATTTAATTGCGTTTCCTTCCTTTGTGTTTATTCACACTTTTTAATTTGGTGTATATAATCATACATGTAGTTAACAATTTAGAAAGAATTAAGTTTTTAGCCCACCATCTAATAATCGCCCTGCGTCCGTGGTCCGTCCATCTAGGCGTCCGTCCGTCCGTAAACAATTCTTGTTACCGCTATTTCTGGAAAAGTACTGGATGGATCTTTCTCAAATTTCATATGCAGTTTCCCCTTGGTCCCTAATTGTGCATTGTACCTTTTTTGGACTGATTCGAATTCAAGATGGCTGACAGACGGCCATCTTGGATTTTGGAAGTAAAAGTTTGTTACCGCTATTTCTGGGAAAGTACTGGATGGATTTTTCTCAAATTTCATATGCAGTTTCCCCTTAGTCCCTAGTTGTGCATCGTACCTTTTTTGGACTTATTTGAATTCAAGATGGCCGACAGGCAGCCATCTTGGATTTTGGATGTAAAAGTTTGTTACTGCTATTTCTTGGAAAGTACTGGATGGATCTTTCTCAAATTTCATATGCAGGTTCCCTTTGGTTCCAAGTTGTGCATTATACCATTTTGGACTGATCCGAAATCAAGATGGCTGACAGGCAGCCATCTTGGATTTTGAGAGTAAAATCTTGTTACTGCTATATCTGAGGAAGTACTGGATGGATCCTTCTGATATTTCATAGATACTGGTTTCCCTTGGTCCCTAGTTGTGCATTGTACCTTTTTTGGACTGATTTGAAATCAAGGTGGCCAACAGGCAGCCATCTTGGATGTCGACAGTAATACAGCACAAGCATATTGTCCATTAGCCACCTGTAACTGACTGCTATCTAATAATACTTTGGGATCTTTTTCAAATTATATTTGCTAATAGGTGCTTAATAAAAATATCTTGTGCCATCATTGAGTACATTCAATGAAGACCAGTTCATGAACATTTACAACACCTGTAACAAACAAAAAAAATAAACAAATCTTCAAGAACTGAAAACAGATCCTCAAATGGTGGGCGAAGATCCCTCTGGGATTGTTAATTAATAATTTCTATGTAGAAATGTTTTGAGTAAATAGTTTTAGAGGAGTTTTTGTTCATTTGAAGCTTTTAAATCTTATCCTGAAATTTCTCTTCTGATACATACGTTTTTTCCACAAATTACTAGAAAACTCTGAACATGCATGTAGCAGTTTCCCCTCTTTGCAGATATATTTAACCAGCTTTGGAAGATTTATGACCCTTTCACCTTTCAGCTTTCTTTATCTTGTATAGAGCATCTTCCCTTCAGTCTTGAATTGATATTTTTTCAAACTTAGAACACGTTATCAGGATCAGATTTGCTTTATCTTGACATTTTTACAAAAAACCTACTGTTTCAGTTCTATTTTACATATACATTTGTATTTGCATTTTTGTTAACGTAATGTATTTCTTTTGGGCATTAAACAGAATCTCATGATAGACAGATCACCATACCATAATACTTATGTGGTCATTTAATGCTCATATCACAGGTTGGCCAGGCTGTTGTTTACTAACACTTCCAGAAACCTCAACCAAATGTGAACAAAGAAAACACAACTTGTAGAGACAGTGAATTTATTATCAATAGTTTTCTCCCTGAATATATCTATACAGTGTACAAGTTATAATAACATTGATAAAGAAATGCAAATAATTAGATTCTGACTTCTTGTTTAAAATTCTTGTGTAACACAGGCCATTATCTATTTCAATACTTCCACAAAAATTCAAAGCCAGGACCTCTGGTTTACCAGTCAGACAGTCAACCAATCATAATAAAGAGAAGTTCTCTCTTGACGAGTGTTATAATGTGGCTAGAGTTTTACCCCAGTTACATTTGTACAAGTAATCCACATGGCTTTAATTTGACCATAAACAGTCCTAACCACAGAGAATATAATATTTTCTCACAGTACTAGATGGATTTCATACATCTCTTTGACAAAATTTGTCACCCAGTGGACGGAATGTTTTGATGTTTATTTGGTTTAATTTTTTTTACACTTATATTTAACTCAGCATTTTTTTTTTTTTAATGTAAGTAAATTTACATATAATCAGAAATCTATGAGGTGTTGAAAACATGAAGTCATCTAGATTTAAAATTGAAAAAAGGAGATGAAAAGTACAAGGTAATTTTTCAATGATTTCCTGTCCCTTACACTGTATTTTCCATGGAACTGCCAAGGTTTACTACCATGGATATATAGTGTTGTTGATATATAGCAAACTTAATGTTCTATATTTAACTTGTCCATAACAAGCTTTTATCATAACAAATAAATGTACAGCATAGAAAAATTATTACTGAAAGGAATCAAACTTTTAATCAACAATTATACCAACAAAAATTAAAAACATCATTTATTGATAGCAGCTCAGAACAGCGTTTATTTATATAAAAAAAAAACAAATAAATAAAATAAACGGTTAAATCTTACATATTCATCATTTTATCATGTCACATTTGATAAAGAGTCTTTTCGGAGACATAATGACTGCCAGTGTAATGTAGAAATCAGTTTTTTCCTGCATTCAGCCTGTTTGGGTTTTTTGGACATTTTGTGCAAAAGATGAACAATCTACATTCCACTGCTCTGTTATATTGATCTATCACTGCATTGGTAACTTTAAATTTGAATTGTTATCTTGATATCTATTTTCAGGTCACAAACTAAGCAGTCTATTTATTTAATATTCACATACAAGTCATTAATATATAGGAAAGTAAAGTGATAATAAACAGGGTTACACGAACATGTACTTAACATTAATCATATCACAGTCAAATCATAGAATTGTATTGACATGGACGGAAGGACACTCGCATGGTCAAACAACCAACTATCGTCGTGAACTTGCTCCTGTCCGACTCTGTCCACTCCGTACACTGGACATGGAACTGGAACTTCGGGAACTGGCTGGAGAACGCATTGCTCCTAAACAAAAAAAAGGTGAAATTAAAGTAATTTTTTCACAATTGTATTTTAAACAAATATTGTTTAACTTGATCAATCGAAAAATGTCACCTTTAGATATTGGCATATCTAGCAAAAGCATGAATCGTTTTGATCCAATTTTGAAATAAACGTGTATATGACTTAGTACACCAGACATTCATCTTTAAAGTTATATTTTTTTTATTTAAGGGTATAAATTGTCAACACTTTAAATCTTTCTATCCAAAAATACAAACATAAGGAGGTTTTGATATCTATCGAACTGAACTGTCCAAAAAGAGCAGTCTTTACAAAGTATTTGGTCAATCAATTTCTGTTTAAATTTTCCCTTCCTTCATCACGAACTGATGAAAATGATTATTAAGGCAAATAAAAGGTGAAATTTGGATGGTTTGATTCTTTCTATTGGCAAAGAAATTAAAAATTTGTGTACCAAGACATAACAAAAATTCAAAAAGGCCAAAGATCAGCCATAAGTTTCAATTTTCACTTCTACACAAAATCCACCCCCTTCAAAAAAGTGCAGGATTTGATTATACCCTAGTTGAACTGAAATGAGATGCTGTCACATACCAAAGTCTGCCCCTATCTGTACTGGCGTTGGTCTTCCACTACCACTAGGGGGTGACTTAATACTGCCGGCGCTACTTCGTGCCGAAGTCAAGCTAGAGCGAGCACTACTGGGCTGTCGGGCTCCAGCTCTTGCTGTTGGTGGTGGTAAGTTAGCCTACAGATAGGAAGAAAAGATATTTAAACAAGAGATCCCAGAGGAATCTTGGTGCCCACCATTTCAGGATCTGTTTTCAGTTCTTGAAGATTTGTTTCTTTTTTTTTTTTTTATTAAACCCAATAACATATTTCTCATGTCTTTCAAAGATAGTGTCATCAACGGAATTATGACATAAAAATAATCTCATTGTTACACGTACCTTGAAAAGACAATTTTATATATGTATGAAGTTTTATACTTTTTCTGATATGACAACTCATTACCTTAATCTGTTGAAAAATACCTATACATACAAATATTATCCATATGGCATTATCATTTGTATTTTCGACATAATATTATGTCAAACTCTTACAAAACTCTTCAAGATGAAAAAATGATTTTTGCTTTACATTTTATCAAAACATGTACTTTAGAAACAATTCAGACACAAAATATGTCCTACCTGTGAGAAGTAAAGATGAACAGTCTCTCCTATGTCTGGGTGCGACTGTATAATTTCCCCAATTTGGGACATGATTGACTTGTTAAACTCACGCAATTCTCTAACATGGAAATCACGCTGAAAACAGAAAATTAATCCCACTTTGATACACAATACTGAGAGCAGAGCATGTCAAAGTTGCACATATGATGTCAAACTTTAACTGATGCATTGGAAATAATATTCCAACTTTAAGTCACTCTTTCATCAGGAAATCAAATACAGTCATAACATCTTAAATGTAAAACACAGGGTAAGTTTACATAAAACTCTTAGGTTACTTAACAGATATACACAAGTTTTTTAATTTCTATGAAACGAACCAATAAAACTCCCAAAATGTTTCCATTAGAACAATTATTCAATGATACAATGATAATGACATTCTCCCTTTTCTTTTGATCAGGAAAATGTGCATATAATAAATTAATGTTCAATATTTCAAAAGAAGTCACAAGTGATCCTAGACCAAATGACCTACAATATCTAAGCAAGTGTAGACTATGATGTATGGATAAAAACAGGGCTATTCAAGCTGATATTCCACATTACCCCAGAACTCCTCAACAAAACTTGGAGCCCTGGGGAAGGATAGATGTTTTACCAGAATATCCCTTAACAAAATCTGGAATCCTGGGGTGGGATAGTTGTTTTACCAGCATAGCCCTCAACAAAACTTGGAGTCCTAGGGTGGGATAGATGTTTTACCAGAATAGCCCTCAACAAAACTTGGAGTCCTGGGGTTGGATAGATGTTTTACCAGAATAGCCCTAAACAACACTTGGAGTCCTGGGGTGGGATAGATGTTTTACCAGAATAGCCCTAAACAAAACTTGGAGTCCTGGGGTGGGATAGATGTTTTTACCAGAATAGCCCTCAACAAAATTTGGAATCCTGGGGTGGGATAGATGTTTTACCAGAATAGCCCTAAACAAAACTTGGAGTCCTGGGGTGGGAACGATGTTTATACCAGAATAGCCCTCAACAAAACATGGAGTCCTGGGGTGGGAAAGATGTTTTACCAGAATAGCCCTTAACAAAATCTGGAAGTCATGGGGTGGGACTGATGTTTTACCAGAATATCCCTAAACAAAACATGGAGTCCTGGGGTGGGATAGATGTTTTACCAGAATAGCCCTAAACAAAACTTGGAGTCCTGGGGTTGGATAGATGTTTTACCAGAATAGCCCTAAACAACACTTGGAGTCCTGGGGTGGGATAGATGTTTTACCAGAATAGACTTAAACAAAATCTGGAATCCTGGGGTGGGATAGATGTTTTACCAGCATAGCCCTAAACAAAACTTGGAGTCCTGGGGTGGGATAGATGTTTTACCAGAATAGCCCTAAACAACACTTGGAGTCCTGGGGTGGGATAGATGTTTTTACCAGAATAGCCCTCAACAAAATTTGGAATCCTGGGGTGGGATAGATGTTTTACCAGAATAGCCCTAAACAACACTTGGAGTCCTGGGGTGGGATAGATGTTTTACCAGAATAGCCCTAAACAACACTTGGAGTCCTGGGGTGGGATAGATGTTTTACCAGAATAGACTTAAACAAAATCTGGAATCCTGGGGTGGGATAGATGTTTTACCAGCATAGCCCTAAACAAAACTTGGAGTCCTGGGGTTGGATAGATGTTTTACCAGAATAGCCCTAAACAACACTTGGAGTCCTGGGGTGGGATAGATGTTTTTACCAGAATAGCCCTCAACAAAATTTGGAATCCTGGGGTGGGATAGATGTTTTACCAGAATAGCCCTAAACAACACTTGGAGTCCTGGGGTGGGATAGATGTTTTACTAGAATTGCCCTAAACAAAACTTGGAGTCCTGGGGTTGGATAGATGTTTTACTAGAATAGCCCTAAACAACACTTGGAGTCCTGGGGTGGGATAGATGTTTTACTAGAATTGCCCTAAACAAAACTTGGAGTCCTGGGGTTGGATAGATGTTTTACTAGAATAGCCCTAAACAACACTTGGAGTCCTGGGGTGGGATAGATGTTTTACTAGAATTGCCCTAAACAAAACTTGGAGTCCTGTGGTGGGACTGATGTTTTACCAGAATAGCCCTAAACAAAACTTGGAAGTCATGGGGTGGGACTGATGTTTTACCAGAATATCCCTAAACAAAACTTGGAGTCTTGGGGTGGGATAGATGTTTTTCCAGAATAGCCACAAGACTATGAAATATCTTGTACACTACTTTTTCATCACAGACCAACACACAAAGGAGTAACCATACTTATCATGTAATAAAACTTGGGGACCACCACACTGAATGTTACTCAATGTCAGGGGTAGCCTTATTGCAGGACCATGAAATAGCATTTTCATTTGTAACTCTCCTTAACGGCAGTTGATTAGGGTGGGCTTATTATAAGGCCATGAAATAACATTTACATTTGTAATTCTCCTGAACAGCAGTTGATGAGGGTGGGTTTATTATCAAGCGTTGGCTTATTGCTGGATAATGTTGTCATATTTTCCTTCTTCTTCGTCATCTTTGCCTAATGTACAATAAGTTATGAGTACCTACCTCCTCTGGTGTTTCTCCTTTGGTCTTTTTGGCAGATCTAAGCTCTCTAGCATATTTGGAATTCTTCCAAACAAAAGATTTAGCATTTTTTAAGTATATTGTATAAAAACAAAAAACAACAACAAAAAAAAAAAAAAAAAAAGAAATTGAAAAAAGTCTACATTTAATTCATGAAAAAGTTTAGTTATTTTAAAACCACTGATAATGCATCTCAAATTCAAACTAATTACAAATACAGTTTTTTAAATTGAATATACAATTTCAATAATTAATATCCTTCCCCCTTCCTTCAGAAAAAACCTCAAAAGAACAAAAACATCAAATTCAGCTTACAGATTTCATGGCTCGTTCCAGTTTGGCTCTCTGGTCTTCGATCTCCTTTGTCAGCTGTAAAACCTTGTTCTGTTTTCAAAACAAAAGAAGAAGATCATTGTTTAATAGTGTAGCTATATTGTAACTGTAGACAGGAATAATGCTTAAAATACATGTCCAGTATATCTGATTGAAAGTGCAAGCATTTATAATTCAATTACAATTGATGGATAATATCCATACCAATATTGAAAGTGATAATAATTGTTAGATTTTGCTTGTAGTAAAACCAAAATACCAATTTCTTTTAGATATGTTAATTCCAGTATAATTCTTTTAACTGACTACATATGTATATGAATGCTGTATAAATCACAGTGTTATCACATCACTTTTTTTCTTCCATTAATTCCTCTATAACATTACCTTCTTTCTTCCATTAATTCCTCTATAACATTACCTTCTTTCTTCCATTAATTCCTCTATAACATTACCTTTTTTTCTTCAATCATTTCCTCGTAGGCACCTGAATCTCGAACCAAGTTATCCAGGGTACTACTCATTGTCTACAACCACAAATAAGTTACAGCAAAATAGAATCACAATTTTCAAACTTTTGCTTAAAAAAGTACTCAATTCTTTATCGCCAACTGATTCAATCTCCAAATATGTGCTGGACATGTAAACAGACAATAATTTCAGTTTTAAAATCATGCAAAACATAATGTGAAAAAAAATGTTACAAATCTGTCCATAGATAATAACCTGTGAGACCTTTTAATTAACGACAGTGAGTGGGCTGGACAATAAAAAAAAAATTATAAATACATGCAATTCTATTAAACAGTAATAAAAATGGGTGGGCTCATTACCAGACATGTGCTTAATGTGCTTAGGTATATACTAAAGCTTATATATTTGATATATACATTGCGCTGCGGGTGATATATCTTTTTTTTGTACTACACTGTAGACTTACCTGTAGATCTTCCTGCAATTCTCTGATCTGGCGTCGTTTGTACTTGTACTTATCCATGACAGCCCTCATTTGCTCCTCAAGCTGTTGTTTCTCCTCCATGTCGTCACCTGTAACACAAAGGTACGACTTGTACACAAAATTCTAAGGGTATGGCCTATCACTTCCACACAAACTTTGGTATGAAATTTGAAAAATGTCTAAAAATACATGAAGAAAACTTCTGCAAATATCCTTGTTCAATCCAGACTTTGATCAGGTGTAGATGTTATAATACTGGGAGGTTCTCATGAGATGACAACATGTTGTTAAAGGACACGATATGACAAGAGATGGAAAAGATATGGGTGGAATGATATGCTCCCCCAGCCCACCCTTGCCATAACTACCTCCAAATAAAGAGGAGGTTTGAAAAAACGAAAAAGGAAACAACAAAATGCCTATAATTTATAGCATGTCTTAATGTATTCAACTCAGTTTTAAGACAAGTTCCACTTCCCATCCGCAAAAGATTATGGCAGTTATAGAGGACATGAGTTTATAAAATGAGTATATAAAATTCTGGACAGCATGATAATGGTTAACAAAGGGCTACCACTCTGAAACATAATAGAATTCAAGGCCTGAACGATTTCAGTTTGCAGTAGTCAACCTTCAAAGAGTTACTTGAATGAAAATTGTTTAAGATGTCGAGTAAAACAGAAATGCCCTGGACACAAAATATTGGACAAATAAACCTAAATACAATTGGGTTTTGCATGAACAAGTTTGTGGATGTTTGAATCAAAGAAAATAATTAATTTTTCTTCCTTGTTCTAAAACAATATAATTATTCATTTAATATTCATGTACTTTTTAAATCAGTATCTTAGCTAAATAAAAGATAGATGTGAATATTTATTTTCTGCCAAACAGATGTGGTTTTACTTACATGTGTAATAAATCAAAGAAAAAGAAAAAAAAAAAGAAAGACTACAGCGAGCAAAATTAGATTTGAAGATAACCTACTTTGGTCAGTGACTTTGTTGAAACTTTTCCTGTAAGTTTCATTTCTGTTATTCATCAGTTTCAGCGTGTTCTCAAGGGCTCGGATCTCCTTCTCTGCTTTCCTTATACGAGCATCAAGGTCATCACCTTCCCTCTGTAGCTCCTCTTTCTCTTGTGCTGCCTGCAGCAAAAATGTGCAAGAACTTTCTTTATTTGTATAATTATGGTACTTAACCTGGAAAACATCCAAAAGGATGTCACATAACCTCAGAATTAAACAAGTTTTACACAGAGTGGGGTTATTATAGAGTATGTACATACTGTTTACTGGTATTTCTTCAGAAACTGTGATAGTTGATTGGGATGTCGTCTCACTACAGGACATTTAAATAGTAATTTTACTGAACTGCAAGTGGTGTGAATGGGCTTACCATTAGTCAATGGCATGTAAGGTAAATAGGAAGCATAACATGTGATCACAAATCCAATGTCTTAGAACAGTATGAGAATGAAAATACAAAGAATAGTTAAGGAGGACAGAACACACTATCAACCTGTTTAACAAGATCCCATTTCTTTGAATTTAGATTGAACATGTCCCTGCCAAACAACAGCTTGCACTAATCATACCTTGATAACATAGTAAGCCTGAGACCTCTCCTCTTCACCTTCCGGTGGTGCCATTGAAACCATCAGAATCTCGTATCTAAAGATTTTAACATAAATTATTGTAATCTTTAAAATGTCATTAAAATAATGAAAGTATCTAATTCTCATTATCACTATACATCACTATACATCACTACATCACTATATATCACTATACATCACTATACATCACTACATCACTATACATCACTATACATCACTACATCACTATACATACTATACATCACTATACATCACTATACATACTATACATCACTACATCACTACATCACTATACATACTATACATCACTATACATCACTATACATCACTACACCACTATACATCACTATACTTCACTATACATCACTATACATCACTACATCACTATACATCACTATACATAACTATACATCACTACATCACTATACATCACTATACATCACTATACACCACTATACATCACTATACATCACTATACATCACTATATCACTATACATCACTATACATCACTACATCACTATACATCACTATACATCACTACATCACTATACATCACTATACATCACCATCACTATACATCACTATACATCACAATACATCACCATCACTATACATCACTATACATCACTATACATCACCATCACTATATATCACTATAAATCACTATACATCACTACATCACTATACATCACCATACATCACCATACATCACTATACATCACCATAAATCACTATACATCACTATACATCACTACATCACTATACATCACTGTACATCACTGTACATCACTATACATCACTATACATCACTACATCACTATACATCACTATACATCACTACATCACTATACATCACTATACATCACTACATCACTATACATCACCATCACTATACATCACTATACATCACAATACATCACCATCACTATACATCACTATACATCACTATACATCACCACTATACATCACTATACATCACTATACATCACCATCACTATATATCACTATAAATCACTATACATCACTATACATCACTACATACATCACACCATACATCACCATACATCACTATACATCACCATAAATCACTATACATCACTATACATCACTACATCACTTTACATCACTGTACATCACTATACATCACTATACATCACTACATCACTATACATCACTATACATCACTACATTTCTATACATCACTATTCACTATACATCACTACATCACTATACATCCCTATACATCACTATACATCACTATACATCACTGTACATCACTGTACATCACTATACATCACTATACATCACTACATCACTATACATCACTATACATCACTACATCACTATACATCACTACATCACTATACATCACTATACATCACTATACATCACCATCACTATACATCACTATACATCACAATACATCACCATCACTATACATCACTATACATCACTATACATCACCACTATACATCACTATACATCACTATACATCACCATCACTATATATCACTATACATCACTATACATCACTATACATCACTACATCACTATACATCACCATACATCACCATACATCACTATACATCACCATAAATCACTATACATCACTATACATCACTATACATCACTACATCACTTTACATCACTGTACATCACTGTACATCACTATACATCACTATACATCACTACATCACTATACATCACTATACATCACTACATTACTATACATCACTATTCACTATACATCACTACATCACTATACATCCCTATACATCACTATACATCACTGTACATCACTATACATCACTATACATCACTACATCACTATACATCACTATACATCACTACATTACTATACATCACTATTCACTATACATCACTACATCACTATACATCACTATACATCACTACATCACTATACATCACTATACATCACTATACATCACTACATCACTATACATCACTATACATCGATAATGATAGTTTCATGCTCGTAGTGATATAATATTGTGAATGAAGGACTCCAGCTGGGCTTGAATTTCATGCCTTAAAAATGCCCCTGCGAAATGAAGTCCATTTGAAATGTGGATCTTATGCCATTCTTTGTCAAACTTTTCTGGTTTACTTTGATAGAATCTCATAGAATAAATGCTATAATTTTTAGCAAGTGATACCTGGTATATCAATTTATGTGAAATATAAAAAAAATTGTTGAGCATTTTGTTGTGGTATCAGAAAAAGTATAACAATAGTCTGTTCTGTGATTGTAGTTTTTTCAGTCAGCAAATAAAATGTATTTGCTATTCTTGTGTCTGTAAACTTTGCAATGGATTAAAACAAAAATTGTATTTCAATAAAGAGAAAAAAACTGTAAATATAAGGATTTTTACTTTCTGTTTTGTTGAAGGTCATGGCGTGATAACTACAATTGAACTAGGGTAAATTTTACGTAACTGTTTTCATCAGTTATTCAATTAACCCGAGTTCACTCATAGTTATTCCTTATGACCTAAACAAAATAGATATTTAATCCTCACATAAATGAAGTTACTGTATAGAGACTATAGTTGTTATTTTTTGGTTCTATTTCCTGACATTTTCAATGGTATACTAAATTATGATAAAATGAATAACAAGAAAATTAAGATATCAAGGAAAAGGTAGATCTGTTAAATTACTGGAAAATTACATTTCATTTTTTCTTAAATGATTTGGTAAAACTGCAAAAAACTGAAACATCACATTGTTTTTAAAAAAAGACCAATTTACCTTTTCCTGAGTTTGTCAATCTTAGAGATACGCTCATGGAGCTCGGCACTAATCTGGCTCCTTTCCTCATTGGCAACCCTGATTTGTGCCTGAAGCATCTCACTGTGGATGCTGATTTCATGTCTACGCTCCTTCATCGCCTGTACAATAGTAAATCAACCCAATGGTAAGTACATACACATTGTATGCCTGTACTTAAAATCCAAAACCAATATTTAAACTTGAAACTAAATGTTTCCTGAATTACTTTGAGGAATTATCTCTGGAGTACTTAAACTTTTGATTATTTGTCTAAAAAGATCTAAGAGAGATAACTCAGAATTATCAGCAACACATTTCTGTGGAATTATGATACAATATTTGGTTCACACTTGCACTTTGTATTGCTTCCAATTTTTCAAATATTGATTGTGGAAAAACATGATAGAAACAAAACACTGACAATATTAAGTGAGACATGTTACATGAAAAAGCATGTAATTAACAATTTCAAATATCCCAATATTCATTACTTCACAGGTATAGACATAAAAATGAAAAAAGGTTGATAACTCTGTTAATATCTATCAGCATGATTTTGATGTATAATCTGTAACATAAACAGAGACGCAAGTTCAAAATGTGACATTGTGAGGTAAGTGACAGACAAAGTATGATACTAACATAGAAAAGACAGCATGCAACCCTACAGCCCTAGCAGTAGTTTCAAAACAGAAAATCTTTGAGTTTAAAAGTGTCTTACCGTATCCAGCTGTAGACGTCGTTTCTCCATATTGAGAACATCATCAGCACGGCCATGTAACATGTCACGTAATCGCTTGATTTCCAGTTTCAGTATATTTTGGTCCACCATCAGATTCTGTTTGGAGGAAATGATGTTTCGTAGCTCACGCTCCGAGCTATCATTGTAAAGATTCAGCTCCTCTATCTTACTGGTAAAGTCATTCTTCTCGGCTCCACTCTTCTCCAGCTCTCTCCTTACGCGGCGGATATCATCCTACAAATATACATAATTACATGTACTTACACTGATATATTACTGAATGGTGGATTCTACACATTCTCATCTTCCTCTAATATTACATTAACTCATAATGTGTGCTCTGGGTTGATATAACAATCTAACAACTAATATAGTAACAAGGGATTTTCATATATTTTATCAACTCAAAATCTGCTATAAAAATCAGTTACAGACATGACATAAAAATTAATCTTATGAAATCTATTTTATTTTTTGAAAAATTCATGAAATTGTAGTGTTTTTTACTAAAAAAATAAAATTAGAACTTCACAGAAATGGAAATTTTACAATAGGATAATTAGAAATCCCTACTTCACTATATATCCAATGATTTTTTTAAAATCATGTTAAATGGGTATGGTGTTTTCAAAAATTGTACAAAAGACACATGGAAAAAGCACCTTTCCATACAAATTTAGAATTAGATAAAGTAGGACAGTTTCATTGTTCTTGGACTCATCAGTGATGCTGTGGGCTTTGTTCAAACCTTGGATGTGTAAATTAGGAAATCAATAAATGATTGAAAGAAATATCATAATTTAAGTACAGAGGTGCACAAGCCAAATAATTCAACAAATTTCAGAATTTTAATGTAGATAATTTCATTCTAAACTGTGTCGCTATTCGAATGAATCAAAATATGGCATGCATGTTAAAATGACCTCTAGGAATGGCTTCTCTCGTTGTTTATTTCAATTTTCCATGCAAGTATGTGCCTACAAGTGTATTAATTTACCTGAAGCCGTTTAAGCTGTAGGGTAAGAAGGGTGTGTGTGTTGTTTTTCTGCTCCAAGTCATCAGTGAGATCCTTGATTTTCATTTCCAGTTGGACCTTTTCTTCATTGCTGCGTTCTCCTTGGATTCGATTAATTCTCCTCTCGACTTGTTGGACAGCAAAATCCTGTTCAAAACGCCATAATTTATGTAAAAAAACTGTAGACAAAGTTGTATGGTTTCTTGTCAATATTAATTATGAATTATAATTTTCTAAACAATTTTAACAATGGTAGCTTCCAATAGATAACTCAAAGACATTTCTTTTTTAATTTAGTGTCTAAAATCTAATTTAGTCAGGAACATGACATGAGTAAACTAATTTAACGACAATCATCCACTCCTTGAACTATATTGCCCCGTTGTAAAAGTACTAGTATACAGTACCAAACAAGAATTTCCGTCAAGATCTGCGGACAAATGAGTATTTTACCAGCGTAAAACAATGAAACTACCAGTTGTCTAATATCTGCTGTAATTGCCATCTGTGTTTAAGTATGGTTAACACTAACTCTCAGGTGTACACACTGACAGATATTTTATAAAATGAAATTGAAACAAATCTCACCTGGAGATCTAGATCTGCTACGTATTGACAATTTATTTATACTATTTATTCAAGGGTAGTTTATACCTGGTTGTAAATGATTTCCTGCTGTTTCAGAGAATCTGTGTCTAGTTTCGTTATTTTGCTGTTCAAGTTTCTGATGGCAGCTTGGCTCCCCTGTAATGGTGTCAAAGTTGAAAATACTCAATTTCAATAAATTAGAAACAAAAGTATAATAGTTAAAACAGTAATATTTTACTCTTTGCTATACAGTGTTGTGTAGGCAATTTGAAACACATGTTTGTTTATTGTGATATTTTAAAGATTTCTTTATAAACAGCTTCAAAATAATTTAATCTAAAGAAAGCAAATATTTAGAAAAAGGTAAAAGCCAATTACAAAAAAGATAATTTACAAAATAAATTGTTTATAGAATAGCAATGTTAATTCTTTTTTATTGGTTTTTTTTATCAAACTTAACTTAACTAGAATCATGTTGAATGTTTTAAACCTATAAATGATTTTGATGGTCATAAATACCTGAATCTCTGCCTCTTTGTTTCTCTCCTTGACCTTGCAGTCATGTAGTTCCTGTGTCTTGTGAAATTGCAGATCTCGCAAATGTTTCAGCTGCTGATCAATTTCACGCTGTGTTCGGTCTTCCTCCTGCAGCATCTCATCAAATCTTGCGGCACGCTCTTCTGCACTCAGTGTCGATTCTGTTGCTATCTTCAGCTTGTCAACCAAAGTTTCTCTGAGCTCCTTTGCTTGTTGAAGTCTACAAAGTCGAGCAGAATTTATTAGAACTTAAACACTATGTAAAGCTAGTTCTTCAACAAAACAGAAAAAGTGACAAATTTTACTATTTCAAGGCTGAAATTTCAATAAAATTCCTAAGAGTCATTCGCTGAAATAGAATTTCCAAACTTGTCTGGAGAACCTGATAAATTTGGAAATGTCCTTAACTGCAATTTTAAAGCAGGTTTTAAAACTTTCATATGGACAGATTCTAAATCTTCAAAAATTCAGAAAGCAAACATTGTGAAAACTATCCCAAATGATAAACACTTACTTGTTCAAAAAGCAAACATTGTGAAAACTATCCCAATGATAAACACTTACTTGTTCAGAAAGAAAACATTGTGAAAACTATCCCAATGACAAACACTCACTTGTCCTGAAGCAAATATTGCGAAAACTAATCCACTTTTAATCATAACATCAGTTATGTTAATAGAAATAGACCTTAATTACCTATTAGTTTTATCCTGGACATCTTTCTTCAGATGTGTGACCTGTGACCTTGTGGCTTCAAGGTCATTGGCAGTACGGTCAACTGTTCTCTTGAGTGCATCCAGCTAGAAATGAACAAGATTGATTGATGAATCATCGAATTTTAGAAGTTGAAATAAAAAAAACAATCTTATATATCATAGTTTTGATCATACGACCAACATAAATCCCTGGAAATGCTGCAAACAGGTAGATTTTTAATTTTTGCAGTTTCTTTTTATTTCCTTTTTTATCTTTTTTTTTTTTGAAATTTTTTCTTCAGAGATTTGATTTTAATATATCTAAGACTGTTGTTAAATAAATCAATTCCATTTGTAATTCTAGTTTTCCACTATTTATTTTCAGATTGATGTACATTTTTGTACGTCACCAGCAAAAACCTACAAAGTTAAAATTTCCTGATTGTTGATACAATACTGTTATACAGCATACCTCATCAGAGAATTGGACCCTGTTGGTCTCGGCCTCTTGGTGCTCTATCCTCGTTCTGGCAGCCACACGTTCAGCGATTGAAATCTTCTTTTCTTGCTCCTTGTTATTATCAACTTCTCCATCCAGAAACTGCATCTTTTCCTTAATCGACTCTTCACGCTTTCTGACTTCTGCCTTTACACGTGCAAGTTGCTAAAAGGTGATATAAAAATATATATTTGGGATCATTAACACTTTCTCAAATCTCAAGCTAAATTTTAAATTTCTAACAGTGCACATGACCTTTCCATGAACTGTGTCTTAATTTGGAGAACTTTCCCAGTAAAATTTTGTTCTAAAACTCATTAAAATTTTAGAAATAGTATACTTAACATGCCAAAAGAATTTCTATGAATATCACTGCTAAACCTTGTGCCTTGTTTTATATGTTTCTAAAAAAATAAGTGCTAATTAAGCAATGTTGGTTACAATGAAGTCAAGATTTTATAAAACACATGTGTCCTTGGAGAAAGTATTCAAACCAGCACACATAACTAAGTGAATCCTTTAATCTTTACAGAAATGTGAAGCATTGTTGTGCTATTTACTCAAAATTATTAAAAATAAAGTTACAGCTGCCAAAAGGTCCATTTCATGATCCCGTCTCTGCATTTGTTCAATGGTATGTTCCCACTGTTCAATCAGTTGTTGACGTTCCTGATGTGCCTGTCTGAAATCCTCCGCTGTCTTGTCCAGCTCGATCTGGGCAGTCAAAGTATCTGTGGTCTCATGATCAAGCATCTTCCTCTTCTTCTGGCTCTCCTCTGTCAGTCTGACCATTCTTAGTGACAATTCCTACAACAGAAATAAACCTACACTTAATACTAAAATAATAAAAACACTGGGCCCTTTACCTTTCACCAGTATAAAAAGTTATGTCCTAGGAACTTTTTTTTTCTTAATTTTCAAAATTTCCCCATATTCTGCAATCCAGATAAAATATGTAAACATCAAAATGAAGCAGGCATCATACTGTATAACTGAAACTTACAGATATTTGTGATGATGAGACCCAAAGTTAACAACAAAGATAGCACAGTGTTATCTATGCAATGGGTTAGTCATTCACATAATCATTAGCCTACAGACCCACCTTAATTTGACGTAACCATTAGCCTACAGACCAACCTTAATTTTACATACCAGTAATCATAAGCCTACAGACCAACCTTAATTTTAAGTAACCATTAGCCTACAGATTCACCTTAATTTTACATAACCATTAGCCTACAGATTCACCTTAATTTTACATAATCATTAGCTACAGACCCTATTTAATTTTACATAACCATTATTCTACAGACCAACCTTAATTTTACATAATCATTGGCTTACAGACCCACCTTAATCTTACATGACCATTAGCCTATATACCCACCTTAATCATACATAAAAATTAGTCTATGAACGCACTTTAATTTTACATAACCATTAGTCTACAGACCAACCTTAATTTTACATCATCATTAGCCTACAGACCCACCTTAATTTTACATAACCATTAGTCTACAGACCAACCTTAATTTTACATTACTATTAGCCTAGAGACCCACCTTAATTTTACATAATCATTAGCCTACAGACTCACATTAATTTTACATTACTATCAGCCTACAGACCCACCTTAATCTTACATAACCATTAGCCTACAGACCCACCTTAATTTTACATTACTATTAGCCTACAGACCCACCTTAATTTTACATAACAATTAGTCTACAGACCCACCTTAATTTTACATTACTATTAGCCTACAGACCCACCTTAATCTTACATATGAATCCACTCATTAGTTGCAAGTTAATAGTAACTATTGTACAATCATGTATCCTTTATGGATCAGAACTCTGGGCTAATCCTACACAGCATTCATGCAAAGAACTTGACCTTGTTCAGAGATATGCCACAAGGAGGTGTCAAGGATTCAAGAAGACATCACCAACAATCATCACAACACAAGCCATCGGACTGCTGAATACAAATGGTCATGTGGATTTACGAAAACTCATGTTCTGGAACAAGCTGTGTTTAACGAGTAATAAGTATATATAGAAAACTCTCTTTACAATTCGGTTGTGCGCATTCGTCTTCGGTGACATACTAGTCAAAGCCGAAAGTTTCATTCATAATCTGTTTACAACTGCGCTTAAACTCGGGATTTCCTCTATATTGATGGATTATGTGTTTGACGGATTCTGTCTTGCTCGTACGTCATGGAGGAACTCCTGTAGAAGGACTGTTGAAGACTTTTACTTCAAAAGATCGCAAGATGCGATGGTTTGTTCAGAAACTTCAAAAATGTATCACTCAATTCATTGAGGTCGAGGTCCCAATCCATTGTGGTTGATAGGTCTTGATTTCCCCAAGTACACTTGGAAACTCGGAGAACTTATAAAATTATCCTATCGATACGAGAGAGATACGGTAGTATGTAGGCTTTGTAATAAACAGTCTGATCACATTACTTTACACTTTCTTATCCAGTGTCCAGCATTGTTCAGAAGTCGCAACAAATTACTAGACTTTTTGGTTAACTTCTTATATGTTTATGACTATGTAAAATTCGATAATTTGCCAGAGGAAAGACAGTGTCAATTCCTACTCGGAAGCACAAATGACATTTGTGAGTAGCGATAGGTGGGCTGAACTAATGATCAATATCGCCGACCTGGTAGTAGTAATGTTCTCAGAGATGGACACTCTATTGTGATCCTTGTCTAAAGTATTCATATTCATTATTTGATGTAAACCAAAGATAGAAGACAACCAATGTACAATCTCTAAAATGAGGAAATAAAGTCTGTCTGTCTGTCTGTCTGTCTGTCTGTCTGTCTGTCATAATCATTAGCTACAGACCCACCTTAATTTTACATAATCATTAGCCTACACACCCACCTTAATTTTACAAAATCATTAGCCTACAGACCCACCTTAATTTTACATAACCATTAGCCTGCAGACCCACCTTAATTTTACATAACCATTAGCCTGCAGACCCACCTTAATTTTACATAACCATTAGCCTGCAGACCTACCTTAATTTTACATAACCATTAGCCTGCAGACCCACCTTAATTTTACATAACCATTAGCCTACAGACCCACCTTAATTTTACTTTCATCATGACGAGTGTACTTCTGTATGGCCATGGCATCCTCATCCTTTCTTGCTGACTCTTCTAGCCAGGCTTCCAAAGCCTGCTGGTCCCAGTTCATTTGTGACTTCATCTCTTCTAGCTTCTGAGTTTGCTTGAAGATGTTGTTCTGTGGAATGGAAAATAGCATGATATTATATTCCAGTATCACAGAGTTGATTCAATGAATCATCCTGTAAGCTCTATGTAAATGCTGATCTCAACAGCCTATTACAGATCATTTGAGTAATCTTATTTACCATGCAAGACTGATATATTTATTTGATAAAATGTTGAAAATATCCTAAATTCTTCATTATGAAATGAATTATAGAAGCAATCTCCAGGGCATTAAATGCCATCCACAGAATTTACAGTTTATCTCATGGAGTTTTCGAGGAAAATGACAAAAAATGATAAAATCCACACACATCATTTTATAGATAGTTTATCAGTATGTATATACGTGACTGCTCATACATACAACACATCTGACATTTGTCTCATGACTGTTGATAAGCCCAACCATTTATCAGTTTTACTTACCAGTATACAGAAATCAGTTTGGATTATATTTATTGTAGATCTGTTTCTGGCTAATTCTGTGTAACCAATTTTAAAGTAACACTGACCAAAATCATGTTTTTTTTTAAATTATTCAGGCATTCTTTTACCTCAAACATATTCTTCTTCTCCTTAATCTCTTCCAGTTCCTTCTCCAGCTTACTGATTTCTTGTTGAAGTCGCCCTTCCTCACGTTCAGCAATTTGAAGCATGTGGTTTTCTGTTTCAATCTCCTTTGTTCTGGCCCGGACCAACCCCTGAGTTTTAAAAGGAGCAAAACAGATTTTAGCATGTTCTTCACATAAATCATTAAAATTTCATTATAAACTTGAAAATAGTAGCTAAAACATTTCACAAGGCTATATGATTGAATTCAAAACTATATAAAAAAAGACTATATGATTGAATTCAAAAACTCAGCTAGAGTTCAATGTATCATACTTTATGACAATTTCTTAATGGATTTGCCATCTTTATTCAGCAGGTAATATTAGACTTCATAATCAAAATATTGTTCCCTGTCAAACTTGGTAATTAAAGAAATTTATTTCAGGTGCCTTTCTTCTTTTACTTTTTTTTTCTATTTTTTTCCTTTTTCTTTTTTTGACACCCGTGGCGAATTTGTCTTACATTTAAGTTTTTGAAAATGTCCCATGAGTAAATCAAGACCTTATCCAGATCAATAAACAGGGTTTTTCCATAAGAGCCGGTCGCTGGCCAATTTGAACGGCTACTTTGATCATTTGGCTGCCTACACCAATCCAGTTCTCCTACTTACTCTACACAGCCCACTACTAGCAAAATTATGGAAAACCCTGAATAAACCTTGTAACATCTTGTCACCCTATTAACCAGTAGTATGTAGTGATGTCATGTAACTCAGGGAACAAGACAGTTAATATAGTAAGTCATTTTTACTGAGTAATGGAGACCATAGAGTGACAAAGATTGATCAAATCCGGCCCTTGGCCTGGATTGTTATATCTATCTGGAGTCTCCATTGATATCAATAAAGGTTGATTTATGACATCACAATAATTAGCACTAGCTTTTAGTGTATAGTCTATAGACTCACCTGAGTATGACCGAGTTCCTGTCTGACATTTTTCAAGTGCTCCGACATGGCATGAAGTCGGTCTTCAATCTCCTCCACATCATTTTTGCTTGTGACAATCTTCTTTTGTTTGACCTGGACCTGTTAATGTAAATAATTTGGTTTGCTGAACAATCATCATATACAATGCATATCTGACATAATATCAAAGATGTATCAATATTCTTTGGAGATGATTTTCATATGAAGAGTTCACATTGAGGAGTCCACAGATACAATCTAAAATGAGTTTTAAGAGTCTGAAATTAAAATATACTAATGCAGGAGCTGTATGGTTCACATCATTACATAATGCGTTAATGATTTATATGTAAATTTATATATATATATATATAACTCCTACATTTGTCTAAAGTGCACTAGATACCAAATCAGTTTGCCCCCAGCTAAATATGTCAGTTTTTTAATCCTACTGGACTGTCTTCAGGACAAATGGACCTCTAAAAATATGACCTTCCTCAATCTGTCTAAGCAGATGGCTTTCATGCCATCAGTGCTGCCTCAATATCTTTTTTTTTTTCTTTTTTTGAAAAGCAAAAGGTCTGTTATTCTGACATTATATTGGCTTTCAAATTCAAGTTTGAATATTCATTGGTTCCTAGCCGAAATATAAAATTTGATTGAACAGGTTGGGCACAACCCTGCACATGGGTAATAGTCCTGCATTTGAGTGGTATAGCGTAGTTAATGCTTTGAGTAGTCAATTAGTTTGTCAAATGCAGGTTCATTTGAAACAGAAACAATTTTTTTTTTTTTAAATCTGCAAAAAAAAAAAAAATGACAGCTGTGTATAACCATTTGAGACATTTCATAAAAATGCCACAGGTGAGCATGAATTTACCTGTACACTATAAGCAACGGTGGTGATAAAGTTTGTGATTTTTTACAAAAAATCAGACTAATTAATAAATTATCTTTTTGTGAAAAAATGTACAATATTTCATAGCATGGATATATATATTAGGCAATGTGGACAATATGAAACCATTTTTTCGTTGCAAACGTTTAAAATAATTTTATGTGTTTCTGTTTCAAATGACACTACATTTAAACAATCAAATAATGACTATCCCTCAAATGCAGACTAGGGATGAGACCAGAGACGTATATATGTGATATATACGTCTTTGATGAGACTAAACAGTTGCTGTGTTGAATGTCAGAATAATTCGGACTACACAAAAGCTTGCAAGTATTTCGTACGGACTTTTCACTGGTACACTTTATGTATACACACCAAAACACTACAAACTTTTATTCATTTGAGGGAAACTAGGCAGGCGCTAGTGTGAATTTTAAATGTTTAGACTGAATAACCGTAAACAATTATAGATGTTGGAGAAGGTGGAATGAACAGCCGATCGAGATCGTGTCAAACGAGGTCGATATGTCCCATACCTGATCTTCTAGCTTTTTATTGTCACTGTTTGCGACGGGCATACTTAGTCCTTCGTCCCATTCTATCTCGCTGAGGATGCTGTTGCTCCCTCGGCTCATTTTGGAGGTTAAATGATAAGAATCACAATAAACAGAGTTTCGACAGATATGAACTGCCGGAAGAATGTGTATGTTATTGCTGTGGATACAAGTTGCCCGGATGAAAATAGAAGAACGATAACTCCTAATTTCCGGTTTTGTCCTAGGTCCCGCAACATAATCAATATAACATGCCAGTCAATATTACTTCAACGTCTTCGTTCCTGAAATTTAGTGTGAATATTTATTAACTCAATATTTAAAAAAAGTCACCACTTTATATTTGGTCAACTAAACCTTCATCTCTATTTTAAAGCACTGTAAAAGGAAAACGGATTCAGAAAAGCAAACCACATCGGCTTGCAAGACCGTAAAATATTAGCAGTAATTTTTCACTGACCTTAAAATCATGAATGATGGGGGTAAATCAAGGTTAATTTTGAGCAACATTCACAATAAGTTTTCTCACCAAATTGTTAGATTTTCTTATAAGTTATTTACGGTGTTTTTGTGATATTTCAGTAAGAGAGAGAGAGTATGGTCAGACAACTGCACACCAATCCCTTTACGGTTTAAACATATTTTATTTGCCAAAATTTGACAACAACGGATTGGGCACAAGTTATTTCAACATTATCAACGCCCTCTCCGATTAACATTTATATACATTTTAAGGTGATGGCACAACGGACACAACAGAAACTTCAAACCAATCTACATATGATTTTAGTTTGATTTCCTTGTCTTAAATGGTTAATTTTGTTAAAACCGCTATAGAATCTGGAAACACTTTTGTACATAATATCACTGAATAATCTTAGATTCACTAAATGGCTGTACTGAAGTATCTGTTACGAGGCATTCATTTAAAAAATGTGAAATATTTCAAAAGCAACATCTGTTTTGTACAGATGATTAATTCGGTGATGGAATTTATCATATCTGCTGTTATAGATTTGGTTGATTGGAAACATATTTTTACAATAGATACGTGTATAAAAATATTTGTCAGCTTGATATTTAAGTTTATATTTGACAATTAAACACAAAGATCAATCTGATTCAAGGGGTAACTATAAGAGCTTGGTGAGTGGACCGAATTCGAATCTTACTGCAAATAAAAAAAGAAAGTGGAAAACACGCACATATATTTCTGTAAATAATGTCTTAATGAATGGTTTAATTTGCTGAGATGTAGTGCAATATTTATGTTACTTTGACATGGGACGAATTGTTCAATGTCTAATCATAGAAGCAGTGGTAAGTCACTGGCTGGATTTTTACCAAAGTTTGAACATCTGGAATACTCCAATGTAGGCTATAAAAAGGTATGACGTATATTTTTAAACATTACATTAACGTGTGTGTTATAACAGATTAAGTTTGTCATTTCTGACAGTACAGAGGCTGGTTTGTAACGTTTGCAGTGACAGTGTAACCGCGGAGAAAAGTCTTGTCGAATGGCCCCACCAAAAACCAATACGTAATCCGGAGAGCAAGTTCACGCAGGTCAGTGAGTAAAGGGAGACAACCGCAGCGGCAAACTGTTTAAACGTAAAAAAAAATGTAGGCTACATTGCCTATATCACAGACGTATATACGACTCTATCAGTATTAACCTATAAACACTGATTATGTCACTGCTAGGTGAAAACAATAGGTACAGAAGTAATAAGAAATGATCCCATAGCCGTATATAGGTCATTATTGAGCTAAATTGATCTTTGTCTTGAAGTGAAAGTAGACTAGTCCAGCTGCTTTTTTTTATTTGGTCGTAGCTCTGTGTAAAACACGATTGCCATCGACTTCTTTTCTTAAATACGAAATTCACAATGGCTTGTCCTTACGTTTGCTTAATAACATAAAATCAAATGATACCTGGGGTAAAGTAGCATGATACGACTTTAATCACGTTTTATATGAAATTTTGAAGCCAGATACATTTTGATACATCAGCTATACACAACAGATCGGTCCACATAAATGGCAACAATTAATGACCTTCACCCTGTACTTTATGTAGATAATGCTTGCAAGTAAACATAGCTGAACCTCTGCGTAAACGTTTTCAAAGATGAGTGACGCAAAACGAAATCCAGAAATCAAATATACACAGGTAAGATTTAGCTTTTTGTGTTTACACGTATTTTTATTGTATTTATACCAAGACGTATTTGAGCTCTAGAAGGGAACATGTCTTATATCGGTGTGGTAACTTGGTATTATAAAACAAGTCACTTTCTACATATGTCATCTTTGAATACCTCTCCGAAGGATTGCATATAGTGACCACCTGTATAACATTGTCTCCTGTCTTTAGTGACCAGCTCGATGGTATTGTCACCTGTCTACAAAGACCATCTCTGTAGCATTGTCACATGTCTGCAATGACTATCTCTGTAGCATTGTCACCTGCCTGCAGTGACCATCTCTGTAGCATTGTCACTTGTCTGCAGTGACCATCTCTGTAGTATTGTCACCTGTCTGCAGTGACCATCTCTGTAGCATTGTCACCTGTCTGCAGTGACCATCTCTGTAGCATTGTCACCTATCTGCAGTGACCATCTCTGTAGCATTGTCACCTGTCTGCAGTGACCATCTCTGTAGCATTGTCACCTGTCTGCAGTGACCATCTCAGTAGCATTGTCACCTGTCTGCAGTGACCATCTTTATAGCATTGTCACCAGTCTGCAGTGACCATCTTTAGCATTATCACCTATCTGCAGTGACCATCTCTGTAGCGTTGTCACCTGCTTATAGTGACCATCTGTATAGTATTGTCACCTGTCTATAGTGACCAACTCTACAGTATTGTCTCCTGTCTACATTTAGCAAATCACTATTATTCATATTTGTCTATACTAGTCACATCATTATTATTGTCACCTGTCTATTGTGAACACCCTGTTATTCTTTCCTGCCTACAATGTCATTCGTTCATCATTATCACATATCTAAAATGATGTTGAATTTCTGTTATTTTCTATACATTTTGTAACTAATAGCAATGTAATTTTGTGTTACAGATATTCATCAATAATGAGTTTTGTGATTCTGTGAGTGGCAAGGTGTTCCCAACCATCAACCCGTGTACTGGGGTCAAGATCTGTGAAGTCCAGGAGGGAGATAAGGTACAACAGGATATAAACTGGAAGTTTTAAATGAAAATCTGTGTAAAAAATCAGCAAAATTCCTTATTTTCATTGTAATGTTCAACAGTAAATGTAAAATTTCTGTTCTGGAAACCAAAAACGATAAAAAAAAAAAAAAAAATTAGAGAGAAAAAGAAAGAAGATGATTGTTCAGTAGAGTCAGATGCACTATATTATAAATGAAGACCAAGATATCTATTCTACAATAAGCCAAAGGGACAAAGAACTACCTCTGCCTCATAGTAGAATGCTAGCCTATACGATAAAAAGGAAAATAATATTGAATTTGTCAGCAGTTCTCTTGAAACTTAAAGTCAGTATAATTACAAGGCATGGACCTTTTGTCAGATATATGATATAAGCAACAGTTGAAATAAAGAGGGAGAAAGATTTTAGATTTACAACAATGTAGAAGTATATTGAATAATTTATGAAATATTCTCAATGAAAGAAATACAAGTATGATGAGGTTTTTGTAAAATTAAGAATGATTAAGTTAGACTGTACTAAACATTCAATATATTTGAAAGTCAATTTATGTGACATGGGATCATAATAATTCCTTTCAACCAAACATTTCTAAGAGGATTTTTTTCTGTGGTACAAATTTGAAAAGAAATGGAATTTATTAAAGATTATAATGATAAAAGCATATCAGAATTAAAAAAGAATATATTGTTTAATCATATATGAATATAATTGATGCACACACAGGCTGATGTTGATAAAGCTGTCAAATCTGCAAGGGTAGCAGTTAAGCGTGGCTCCCCCTGGAGGAGGATGGATGCATCAAAGAGGGGAAAACTCCTTTCAAAGTTTGCTGATCTCCTGGAAAGAGACAAAGACTACATTGCTGTAAGATGTTTTCACTGGTGTCTATAATTGAACATCGTATAATCTAAAAACGATGAACATTAACGAAAGTTTTTGACAAGCTTTTACAGGGTTTTGGCCACAATATTGGTTTTTGTTATATTTTGTTATGTCATAATGTAAATAGGACTACTTTCCAGATTGTGCTACTCAGATATGTCCCGATACCTGTTAATTTGCTTTCAAAAGTACTCGTTACACATGAGTGAGAAATTTAATGAGGCGACAGGTCATATGGTTCATGTGACATCTAAGTGTTACTTTGGCTGACCATGTCTGATATGTAAACATTAGTGTAGAAGGCAGACATTTTTTAAATGGTGCCGCTTTTTCACGATGTTCTTGATTGGAAGTGAAATATTCTGCTTTAGCTAAACACTGTATGTTGTTATACAAAAAGTTGAGCAAATAAAAATGTTTAAATAAAATCAAAATAGTGGAAAATCCACACTGAGGGACTGTGAGTCGATGTACATGAATGTACGTCTCCGAATATATGATAGTGGTAAGACCAGCTGCTACTGTGATGAAATAACTCTTCAATATATAACATGGAATTTCGTTATATAGATGCGCAAGATTTTTTTGATTTGTGAGTGTCTTAGGTACAAAATTGTTTGGTGACCAAGATATTTACACTCATACACATAACACATGTACTCATTTTTATAATGTGCTAACAATTGTAACATAAATTATGTGGACATTCAGGACTAATTAATAAAAAAATATGAATTTTGGCAAAAATTCAGCAGTAGAAGCATATAAACGAAAGGACCTGAAAGATTTTGAGCGTTGAAATTCCTGCACTTTTTGAAAATACAAATATCTATATGAAATACTTTGACTGATGGTACGAAATGTTACGATAGAACTGCATACAAATGTCCAGATTTTGATATTTACATGTGTATGAAATTTTCGGAGTACAAGGAAAAAATTTTGATACAATTTTGAAACATATCAATAAAATAAAGGATTATCTAATTTAATTGCAAACTTATATTAAATGTTTCATAAATGATCATAATAAACTGCCTTCCGTCTTCTCTTATATCCTTGAACTTTGGTCAACATATAATGGTTACCAACGGTTACCACATTTTAAGAAATGATGCGGCTTATATCCCGATGCATCTTATATGTAGATTAAATAAAAAAAATCGCTTAAGAAACGCCCTGTGGCTTATATTCGGGTGTGGTTAAAAGCCCATAGAATACTGTACATAATATACAATAATTATGAAATCATCTCCGAGGCAGTGTAAATTCACAAATAGTTATAGATTCATGTAATGTTCACAAGTGGGACAACCTGTTGAACAGGTAAAAATAGTTGACTCCCAACAGGTACATTTTTGTTTTCATTGTGATTATATGAGATTCATTAAAGAAACCCACAACCATTTAAAACCTGTAGTTAATTACATAGGTATACAAAAGCTAACCAGTACCGCAAGTTATAATTAACGGTTAACGTATGCTATTGGTCGGAAAATGATGTTATTTCAACAATCTGAAAATGTTCAATCCTACCTTGTCCCTTTAATAGCGGGTGATATGTTCAGTATAGGTATGAGCTTTCAAGGTATCTGTACCCACCGCGGTATACGAAGGTTCTTAATGATAGATCACTTACATTGACTTCGATATGGGGATACAGCGAACATCATTTACAGCTAAAGAAAAACTGGACACCATTGACTACACTGAAAGATTTGGGTTTCGTGCCAAACCTCTTTGACATCACAGAATCCAAAATTCAGGCTTGGAAGAAAAAAGAAGAATGCCTAAAGTCCCAACCCCTGACCAGAGTGTCCGACAGAGATGGAGAGAGATATATATTTTCACATGCGATCACAGAGATGCCGGTGTAACATGGAATTGTGAAGCATGGGGAAATGAACCAGGGTCAAAATACCATAATGGTGAAGTGAAACCCCCCACCCCTCCCCACCCATGGTTAAGTGAAGCCACTTTATATTTTGTTTTCAATGACTGTTTTCACTTAATTTTTTATCAGTTTACTTAATTATGTTCCTCAATAGATAATAAAACTGAAAAATAACAAAGATTGGGGAAATTTAGGGTGGGGCTGGGCCATGCTAAAGTGAAGCATTTCACTATTTTTTTTACTTATTATCTTTTTTCACCAATTGTTTTGCAATTCATCCAGATTCAATCATATAAACACATATATAACAAAAAATAGGTCTGGGGTGGGGAAATTGAGGGTGAGGCAGGGGGTTGGGGGTTCACTTCACCATGCCCCCCCTCCCCATCCCCCTATTATTAAAGAGGTAAGTTTGGGAAGTTAAGTATTTACAAAATCAAAGTGAACAACGTCAGTCAGTCTGTCAAACTGTTCTGTAAACATTAAAGGACTACTGTGATTACTGGAGGCTGTGGTATTGTTACAGAGCCTGGAGACTATAGACAATGGGAAGCCCTACGCAGATTCTCTAGACGACATCCACGCCAGTGCAGATGTAATGCGATATTATGCAGGCTGGGCAGACAAAAACAGTGGCAAGACTATTCCATCAGGTACATGTATTTAAATCTTATCTCATCGTTTTTACCTTGTTGAAGTTGTTCTAGTCAATTAGATGTGTATAACCCTGTAGCAGTCATAGATAGCTTTTTCGAATTAACATTAGTTAGCGCACATGGCACATTTATAGAACTTCTTCTATAAAACTTTTATTAACTACAATGTGTACACATGTATGTTCTGACATTTTACAAGTAGATATCTGTGATAAAATGCTTTAAGTATTGATCTTCATATAAATGACCTTAACTTGCTTTTCCAATTGACTGGAGTCATTAATATGTCCAAAACTTCAAAAATCTTTTTCTCAAATTTAAGAACCCCAAAAGTTTCGATATTTAGCTTACAGATAAATGGCAAATAGTCCTGTAAAGCTTTGTTATAACATGTATAAACTTAAACCAAATTCTTTAAGATCACTTTAGAATTTTACACAGGAAATTTATAAATATTGCTGAATTTCAGATGGAGATTTGTTTACCTTCACAAGACATGAACCGATGGGTGTTTGTGGACAGATCATACCGGTAAGCTCTTCTACCCTCGCAAAGGTTTCCAGCAACCATTTTACTAATTACCCAGTATATCACCAATATGCAAACAGATTAGATTCCATTTTGAAAGTACAAACCCAAGTACATCTGGTTTGAAATTCAGTAAATGTCAGAACAGCTCTAAATTCTTTGTCATTAATTCTCCACGGAATGATGATCATCCCCATCTGTTAATTCTTTTTTTTTCTTTTTCTTTTTTTTTCTTTTTTTTCGGCAGACAAATTTGTTCAATAGGACAATATGAAATCAGAAAAGATTTGACAGTTGATAATCAATGTGGATAATTTCTTTTTTCTGGGGAAAAAAATCTGAACAATTAGTACATATTTAGATGTCAGTTTTGTGTTCATATTAAAATGCAAAAGTATTTAATGGAAAATTACACTTTTTAATTATAATTAATCACTTAAATTTTCAAATAACTGATTAATTAATTACTGAAAATTGACTTAATCTGATAGTGAATGTGTGTTGTTGATACAAAGCACTGGAATTTCTTCAACATTAATGTATCATTTGCAATATCTACTAAGATTCAATTTTTTGAAGGTTGCTGGTAGTTGACCTACTTCAGTTGGATAGCTAATTTGAAATATTTTGTATGTAGGTTGCATTTACTGCAGTCACAATACACTATTATTGATATATTTCTTTAGAAATGCTGTGTGCTACTTGCATCTACCTATTATAAGCATCCCTCTTGACCTCTGCCCTCTCCCCTCCACCACCACCACCAACTTATAGAAAGATATGTGTTGAACCTCCCCTCCCCGGGCATATTGGAAGATAGTTCCCTCCCCGGGCATATTGGAAGATAGTTCCCTCCCCAGGCATATTGGAAGATAGTTTCGGTATGCAGAGAACAAAGCATTATTTCTGAGTTAATTTTTCAGTGGAACTATCCAGTGATGATGTTAGCATGGAAGCTAGGGCCAGCCTTGGCATGTGGTAACACCGTAGTTGTGAAACCCGCCGAGCAGACACCACTCTCTGCACTCTACTGTGCTTTTCTTCTCAAGGAGGTAATATTAATGTTGTAAGGTTTAAAAAAGTAAATTGCAGTAGAATGACTGTCAGCTGAAGGAAAATTTTAATCAAACTAGAAGCTTTGTCTGTAATGTTTCATATCTGGGGAGTTTTACTGAGACTTCTGAAACGCCTTCTTTACCTGGCAATTCAGTGTGAAAATAAACCTTAAATGTCCTTACACCTAATTTACCAGAAAAAATCTTAATCTACATCCATGTCTAGTCAAACTTACAGATTTGGTTTCCACACAAATTGAAATTTATACCAGATGATTACATTGTTAAGTTGTTCAATATTTCTTCTTAATTGTCTGTTTTTTATCTAATCTACCTGATCTTCAAGGCTGGATTTCCTCCTGGGGTGGTAAACATTGTACCAGGCTATGGCCCGACAGCAGGGGCAGCCATATCAGAACATATGGATGTGGACAAAGTGGCATTTACTGGCTCTACAGAGGTTAGTTTACATCACAGAGAATGTTATACATGGTATACAGAATATTATACGTTCTGTCTGGAGAAGTCAATCAGGGAATCAGCAGAGGAAACTCTATAGGCAGGTGGTCTGTATTTAGAGGTGGTATTTATTCAGAGATGGTCTTTATTTAGAGATGGTCTTTATTTAGAGGTGGTATTTATTTAGAGGTGGTCTTTATTTAGAGGTGGTATTTATTCAGAGATGGTCTTTATTTAGAGGTGGTATTTATTTAGAGGTGGTCTTTATTTAGAGGTGGTCTTTATTTAGATATGGCCCTTAAAACTGGTTTGACTGGAATATTTTACAGTTAGAACTATTACATAAGAAGTTTACAGGTTTGTACATCTTCAATGCCAGGTATGATCAGATACATTAAAAGTATGATGTGATAACTTCTCAGTAGATTTTTATGAGCCTTTCTGTAGATATCCTAAACTGTTACAAATCATCTGGTGTCGTGACAAGTTAACAACATGCCATTTCTGTCATTTCTGTAAAGTCACAAGGTGGGCTTATTACTGGATATTGATGTAGTGTATTTGTTTATTCTTCTGAGTAGTAGTAGCAATGGTGGGTTTATCACCAAGCATGAGTGTATCTATATTAATGTTGACCACCTTGTTTCATAGGTTGGAAAATTGGTGATGCAGGCTGCTGGTGCCAGTAATCTGAAGCGTGTCAGTTTGGAACTCGGGGGCAAAAGTCCTCTTATCATCTTTGCGGACTCAGATAGTAAGTCGGAAGAGTGTTGTGCTTCATTTGTTTGACATGCATGTGATGCTCTATCATACATTATTTTCCTTATAATCTATATCAGGATGTAAGATTGTGTTCTGTGATGTGACATGGACAATAAATGGAATTTACTTTAAAAAAAAAACAAAAAAATTCTGACAGAAATAATTGAATTATGGTCTTTAAAAATTTTCGAAGTCTAAAAGTTCAATGTCTCAACATACATGTAGGAGTTCTCAAGTCCTGAGGCCCACCTGTTGCTATTAGAAAGCATCAAAATAGTTTCCATTTTACTTGTCGAGAGTTAAGGAAACATGTTTAAGAGACAGAAAACCTGTGACCAACCAATCAACATGGTTCATTTTAAAATTTGATTCTTTAATTCATCCTCTGTATATAAACAGTTGATGCAGCTATGTACTGGGCCCATGCTGGAATCATGAACAACCATGGTTCATCATAAAATTTGATTCTTTAATTCAACCTTGTACTGATAAGATCCTTTGTATATATATATAGTTGATGCAGCAGTGTACTGGGCCCATGCTGGAATCATGAACAACCATGGTCAGAATTGTTGTGCTGGCTCTCGCACATTTGTTGAAGAGAGCATATATAATGAATTTGTGGAGAAATCTAAACAAATGGCAGAGTTCAGGATGGTGGGCGATCCATTTGAGGATGCTACACAACAGGGGCCACAAGTAAGTTGTCATGTTATATAATAGGGGTCACAGGTAAGTTGTCATGTTATATAACAGGGGTCACAGCTAAGTTGTCATGTTATATAACAGGGGTCACAGGTACGTTGTCATGTAAAATAACAGAGTTTACAGGTAAGTTGTCATGTTATATAACAGGGGTCACAGGAAAGTTGTCATGTTATATAACAGGGGGGTCATAGGTAAGTTGTCATGTTATATAACAGGAACCACAGGAAAGTTGTCCTGTTATATAAAAGGGGTCACAGGTAAGTTGTCATGTTTTTATAAAAGGGGTCACAGGTAAGTTGTCATGTAATATAACAGAGGTCACAGGTAAGTTGTCATGTTATATAACAGGGGTCATAGGTAAGAGGTCATGTTATATAACAGGGGTCAAAGGTAAGTTGTCCTGTTATATAACAGAGTTTACAGGTAAGTTGTCATGTTATATAACAGGGGTCACAGGTAAGTTGTCATGTTATATAACAGGGGTCACAGGTAAGTTGTCATGTTTTATGACAAGGGCTACAGATAATTTTGTCTTGTTACATAACACTTGAGATCACACAGAATAATTCTTGGTCACATTAGTGATCATGAAGTGGTAGATAAATGACCTTGTATCATATCATATTCACTTTCAGGTGGATGAGGAGCAGCTGAATAAAATTTTGTCATATGTGGAGGCTGGTAAAGCTGAGGGGGCCAAGTTAGAATGTGGTGGTGAACGTCATGGTAGTGAGGGATTTTTCATCAAACCAACTGTCTTCTCGAATGTAACCAATGAAATGAAAATAGCAAAGGAAGAGGTAAGGCGTCCACAGTAGAAAATATCCAACTGCCTTGATAAAAAAATTTATATTGAAATATAGAAAAGGTTTAAAGCACTGTAGTTTCATGTTGTGTTTGTGAGATTTAAACATTAACTCTAGACTTAAAATTTTCAACATGGCATTTCTTTGTCCAATGATTGTTTTTATAGTAGGACCGTTCAGATATAACATACTCAGTGGAAACAGTTAATGGGGTCCGAACTTTTCTGGAAAAAAGTCATACAGTGGAGTTGGGACATGAAATTAAGCAGTTTTCACTGTATTATATATGTGTTGTAGATTTTTGGGCCCGTTCAGACCATTATAAAGTTTAAGGATCTTGATGAAGCCATCGAGAAGGCTAACACCACCACCTACGGTCTGGCAGCAGGAGTCATTACCAAAGATATTGACAAAGCTATGACATTTGCCCAGAATGTTGATGCTGGTAGTGTATGGTATGTATATATTGACCTCGTTGTCCACCCTCAACTTATTTTTTCTAGATAACAAATCTGTATGAGCTACCAGATATTCTATATCACAGAGTCACTAACAGTAATCAGTAATCTCATTCACCAACCTGCTTGTAATCAATAATCTCATTCACTAACCTGCTTGTAATAAATAATCTCATTCCTGTACAAAACTAAAAATAAAGTGTCATTGATGAGGCCTTATACTAAGATTAATTGAACAGTTACACAAAGTAATCATGTGTTTAAAAATTTTATGCTCTATATTCAATGTTATTTTAACTTTCTAGCAGTTTTTTATTCTTTTTTTTTTTTTTTTTTTTGTTTGTTAAATTCTAATCAAAAGTAATGAGCATGAGGAGATTCCAGCATTTTATCACAAGATTTGCATTTTCATTTGCTCCAGCCCAGGAGCTATAGGGACTGTAGGACACCTATATTTTCCTATTATTGAAGAATAATACTACATTATTTAACTAAATAGAACTATTGTGGAATGGATTTGTAAAATATTTTCCACGTTTTGTGTTTTTCAGGATCAATTGCTATGATATGCTCACCCCACAGACTCCATTTGGTGGCTTCAAGCAATCTGGGCAAGGGAGAGAACTGTAAGTAATGTGAAAGTGTTATTGTAAAAGTATTGGCAAATTTCTTTTAGTTGATAATTGGGCTGTATTACTGAATATAACATCAAGAACATTAATATTATATATCATCAAATAAATCTTCATAGAAATAACAAAACTATTAATATCAGTGTATCTGTCTCCTCCTATAGTGAGATCCTAATCAATGCATCCTCCACAATGATATTAAGAGGGAATCAGGACATGGGTACAAATATTCATTAACAGAAAGTTATTTTGACAGTAGCTCCTTTATCATCTTTCACTCAGGACCAGTTTATGTTATCGTAGCTGAGTCCTTGGACACATTACCCTAAATGTTCTGGATGACTTATATTTAGCCTTCAGCTGCTACAGGGAGTCTATGTCTATAAATAACCCAGACTCATCCCAGTTTGATTTGTTCTTTGTTTATCACTGTTCACAGTTTGATTTGTTCATTGTTTATCACTGTTCACAGTTTGATTTGTTCATTGTTTATCACTGTTCACAATTGATTTGTTCTTTGTTTATCACTGTTCACAGTTTGATTTGTTCTTTGTTTATCACTGTTCACAATTGATTTGTTCATTGTTTATCACTGTTCACAGTTTGATTTGTTCTTTGTTTATCACTGTTCACAGTTTGATTTCTTCATTGTTTATCACTGTTCACAGTTTGATTTGTTCATTGTTTATCACTGTTTACAATTGATTTGTCCATTGTTTATCACTGTTCACAGTTTGATTTGTTATTCGTTTATCACTGTTCACAATTGATTTGTTCATTGTTTATCACTGTTCACAGTTTGATTTGTTCATTGTTTATCACTGTTCACAATTGATTTGTTCATTCTTTATCACTGTTCACAGTTTGATTTGTTCATTGTTTATCACTGTTCACAATTGATTTGTCCATTGTTTATCACTGTTCACAGTTTGATTTGTTCATTGTTTATCACTGTTCACAGTTTGATTATTTCTTTGTTTATCACTGTTCACAGTTTGATTTGTTCATTGTTTATCACTGTTCACAATTGATTTGTTCATTGTTTATCACTGTTCACAGTTTGATTTGTTATTCGTTTATCACTGTTCACAATTGATTTGTTCATTCTTTATCACTGTTCACAGTTTGATTTGTTCATTGTTTATCACTGTTCACAGTTTGATTTGTTCTTTGTTTATCACTGTTCACAGTTTGATTTGTTCTTTGTTTATCACTGTTCACAATTGATTTGTTCACTGTTTATCACTGTTCACAATTGATTTGTTCTTTGTTTATCATTGTTCACAGTTTGATTTGTTCATTGTTTATCACTGTTCACAATTGATTTGTCCATTGTTTATCACTGTTCACAGTTTGATTTGTTCATTGTTTATCACTGTTCACAATTGATTTGTTCTTTGTTTATCATTGTTCACAGTTTGATTTGTTCTTTGTTTATCACTGTTCACAATTGATTTGTTCACTGTTTATCACTGTTCACAGTTTGATTTGTTCATTGTTTATCACTGTTCACAGTTTGATTTGTTCTTTGTTTATCACTGTTCACAGTTTGATTTCTTCATTGTTTATCACTGTTCACAGTTTGATTTGTTCATTGTTTATCACTGTTCACAATTGATTTGTCCATTGTTTATCACTGTTCACAGTTTGATTTGTTATTTGTTTATCACTGTTCACAATTGATTTGTTCATTGTTTATCACTGTTCACAGTTTGATTTGTTCTTTGTTTATCACTGTTCACAGTTTGATTTGTTCATTGTTTATCATTGTTCACAGTTTGATTTGTTCATTGTTTATCACTGTTCACAATTGATTTGTCCATTGTTTATCACTGTTCACAGTTTGATTTGTTCATTGTTTATCACTGTTCACAATTGATTTGTTCTTTGTTTATCATTGTTCACAGTTTGATTATTTCTTTGTTTATCACTGTTCACAGTTTGATCACTGTTCACAGTTTGATTTATTTGATTTGTTCACTGTTCACAGTTTGATTTGTTCATTGTTTATCACTGTTCACAGTTTGATTTGTTCTTTGTTTATCACTGTTCACAGTTTGATTTGTTCTTTGTTTATCACTGTTCACAGTTTGATTTGTTCTTTGTTTATCACTGTTCACAGTTTGATTATTTCTTTGTTTATCACTGTTCACAGTTTGATTTGTTCATTGTTTATCACTGTTCACAGTTTGATTTGTTCTTTGTTGATCACTGTTCACAGTTTGATTTGTTCTTTGTTTATCACTGTTCAGTTTGATTTGTTCATTGTTTCTTACTGTTCACAGTTTGATTTGTTCATTGTTTATCACTGTTCACAATTGATTTGTTCTTTGTTTATCACTGTTCACAGTTTGATTTGTTCATTGTTTATCACTGTTCACAGTTTGCTTTGTTCTTTGTTTATCACTGTTCACAGTTTGATTTGTTCTTTGTTGATCACTGTTCACAGTTTGATTTGTTCATTGTTTATCACTGTTCACAGTTTGATTTGTTCTTTGTTTATCACTGTTCACAGTTTGATTTGTTCTTTGTTGATCACTGTTCACAGTTTGATTTGTTCATTGTTTCTTACTGTTCACAGTTTGATTTATTCATTGTTTATCACTGTTGAGAGTTTGATTTGTTCATTGTTGATCACTGTTCACAGTTTGATTTGTTCACTGTTTATCACTGTTCATAGTTTGATTTGTTCATTGTTTATTACTGTTCACAGTTTGATTTGTTCATTGTTTATCACTGTTCACAGTTTGATTTGTTCATTGTTTATCACTGTTCACAGTTTGATTTGTTCTTTGTTTTTCACTGTTCAAAGTTTGATTTGTTCACTGTTTATCACTGTTCACAATTGATTTGTTCATTGTTTATCACTGTTCACAGTTTGATTTGTTCTTTGTTTATCACTGTTCACAGTTTGATTTGTTCACTGTTTATCACTGTTCACAGTTTGATTTGTTCATTCTTTATCACTGTTCACAGTTTGATTTGTTCATTGTTTATCACTGTTCACAGTTTGATTTGTTGATTGTTTATCACTGTTCATAGTTTAATTTGTTCATTGTTGATCACTGTTCAGTTTGATTTCTTCATTGTTTCTTACTTTTCACAGGTTGATTTGTTCTTTGTTGATCACTGTTCACAGTTTGATTTGTTCTTTGTTGATCACTGTTCACAGTTTGATTTGTTCACTGAGGTCGAATGTGTTAAAACCTTTAAATGACATCTTCCAAAATACCAGAAGGCCTAGAATCATTATATTTGGCTGGATGATTCATTTGATGTAACCAAATAAAGTTTGCAAAACCAAATGGCCTTGACCCATAATCAAGGTCACACAGGTGAAATGTGTTAAAACCTTTAAACGTCTTCTTCCAAAATACCAGAAGGCCTAGAATCATTATATATGGCTGGAAGATTCATTTGATGTAACCAAACAAAGTTTGCAAAACGAAATGGCCTTTACCCATATTCAAGGTCACACAGGTGAAATGTGTTAAAACGTCTTCTTCCAAAATACCAGAAGGCCTAGAATCATTATATTTGATAGGAAAGTTCCTTTGACGAAGCCCATAGAAGATTGCAAAAAAAAAAATTACCTTTACCCATATTCAAGGTCACAGCGGTCAAATGTGTTAAAACATTTAAACGACTTCTTCCAAAATACTGGAAGGCCTTGAATCATTATATATGGCTGTGTGGTTCCTTTTATGAAGCCAAACAAAGTTTGCAAAAAGAAATTACCTTGACCCATATTCAAGATCACAGATGTCAATGTGTTACAAACCTTTAAACGACTTCTTCCAAAATACCGGAAGGCCTAGAATCATTATGTGTGGTTGAAAGGTTTCTTTGATGAAGCCCAACGAACTTTGCTAAAAGAAATGACCTTGACCCATATTCAATGTCACAAAGGTGAAATGTGTTACAAACCTTTAAACAACTTCTAAAATACTTGAAGTCCTAGAATCATTGTATTAGGCTACTATGTTCCTCTTATGGTGTCCTACAATGTTTGCTAGAAGAAATGACCTTGACCAATCTTCAAGGTCACAGGGGTCAAATTTGTTAATGCGTTTAAATAATTTTTTCTGAAATATCGATATTTGGGCAGTATATTCCTTTTATGAAGTCCAAGGAAATTTAGCAAAAAGAAAGTAACTTGACCCATAGTCAAGGTCACAGATGTCAAATGTGTTAAAACCTTTGAACATCTTTTTCTGACTATCCAGATATCTAGAATAGTGATATTATGCCAAATTATGTTCTCAATGATGCCCGCTAATATTTGGTCAATTGATTCCCTTAATGGTGCTCACATAGTGTGTGAAAAAATAGCTTGATCCATAAAAATATTACTAGGTTTTAATTTGGTAAAATCATTAATAACTTCTGATTGACCAATGGCCATCATATTTGGCCAATAAAAGTTTCACAATGACTTATTAAAGGAATACATTATATCTCCAGTAACCGGGGCTTAACTGACCATGGTGACGTCACTATTGATATGCATGAAACGTTTAATTATTGGTTTTGAGTTAGGATTATGGTTTATAATTACATGTACCTTAATTGTTCCTGTCTTTATATTTGATTTTAGTGTGTAAACAATGATCTAAAGTACAAGTAAGCTTCTGCTGTCCTGGGTCATCCGTCGAGCTATAACTAAGAGTTTTTCTGCTATATTGTTTGACCATCTTCTTTCCTTGATTTAAAAGAAAACTTTCAATTATATTTAACTGGAAACATCATAAGAAAGTCTCAATTCAACATTGCACAGAGGAGGGGGCTGACTACTAAGGGACAGAACCCATAAAAAGTATTATGTCATATTGCTTTAAGCTTCTACTGTGGAACTTATACACAGATATAGTACTGTTGGTCATAAAGATCCAGGTGAGCGATACAGGCCTTCTGGGCCTCTTGTTATATATAAATGTTTGGCATCATGAGATAAGTATAATGGTTAGCTAAGAATTAACTCTTGGGTGCGGAACACCTTTGGGGTCATTATTTCAGGGTCATATGTTTGATAGAGTTAAGATACCAACCCGATAACCATTTAAACTCCTGCTTGGCATCAAAACAGAAAGACAGTCATGGTATTTACCCGTTAGTCTTTCCCCATCAATGAGGTTAAGTGACTGAGCTTTACTTTTTAAATATTTTATATATCCAACCTATAGGCATTTATACCATTGCTGGGCTTTAAGGTTCAGGTGAGCAATACAGGGCCTAAGGGCCTCTTGCTCATGAGAGTTATGTCCCTTCTATATTTTCAGCTGTCTTTCATCAATTCTCTCTCTGTGATGATGAAGCTCCTCTGTACGATGATCTTAGTAGTAAATCAACTTAAAAGTATATTGCAACTGGAAGTTGTACTTAGTAATACTGATTCAAATGTGCCACAATTTTAACTAGCTTAAGGCTATGTAGTTTCCAGAGGTACATAAGGGAGATAACTTTTACAAGCATGAATTCTTCAGGATTTTGTATATCTAGATGTATGTGATGCAAGTGGGATATTAAACACTAAAATTATGATTTATTGCAGGGGAGAATATGCTCTGAAGGAATACACAGAAATCAAAACTGTAAGTATTTAATAGACTCTAAAATGAACTACACTTTACTATTCTTCAATAGAATTTTACTATTTTTCTATAGAATTGTAATTACAGGTACATATTGTTGATAATTCAAATAACAAAACTCTTCCTCTGGAAGTAAGCTATGCATGATTAAAGGTCAATTGTATTATAGATATTTTGAAACATTTCCAATAGATTAAAAAAAAAAGTTTATGATTCTGTGAAAGAGACAGAGGGGAGGGATATGGAGAAAATGTTCTTTTGAATTTTGTTTTATCTTTAAAAAAATTGCCTTCTGTGATTTTCATTGTCGATAATCCTTTTTGATAAATATACAAGCAAGAGATCTGTAACCCTTTAATACATATAAGTAAATTCATTGAGCTATATACTGTTTTTTTCTCATCTTTTGATAGGTTACCATGATGGTTCAAGAGAAGAACTCATAAAATTTGTGAAAAAAAGCAATCTTGAAAGAGCTAGTGTAAGATTCAAATGTATGCAATATATTTTTAAAGTAATCTTTCATTAACAAGAATGTATGTAAACAGACTATATTCTCATGTACTCTAGAACGGTGCATACACCACAAACAGACTATATCCTCATATACTCTAGAAGAGTACTGTAATGTTTGGGGTTTAGCCTCGCAGACTAACACAACACCATGTGGTTTGCAATATGGCGGTTTATTAACAATATCCCACAATGCCCCACACGGGTCACACTAACATCCGGAGCCGGAGCCAGATTATCTTATACACAACATCCCTCCCCCTTTTTGGTAAAGGAATCCATTTTTCATGATCAATTACTTTTAACCATGTCCATATGTGTAAACTAGAAATGTAACTATTTGTTACCACCACATAAAATAATTATTACTGACCGTGACTACGAAAATTAATTCTTGAACCAAGTCTCTATATCCACATGAAAGTGGAGCTTAACCACAAAACAACTTAACCAGGTCCATGAGCTTAAAGCTTAACAATAAACAATTAACACATGCTCCCATTCATGTTTGCACGAAATCATTCAAGTAACTTGGTGGGTGCCTGGTCCGTTCAGGTTGCACTGATCTTTGTTCTGGTTTCGAACTCACAACCTAGGGTGTACTGACTGAACTGTTCTCCACTACCGGTGTTTGGCCTGGAGTAGAGACCACAACATCCTCAAGTTCCTCGGGAAGTTCGACCTTCACCTTGGAAGACAAACTGTGTCTCTGACGAATATGATCGACATGACGACGTTTGACCTTGCCATCATCATCGCTCACTGCATAGGACACTGGTCCGTTCTTTGATGATATTTCACCAGATAACCATTTTGGACCCTTGTAGAAGTTCTTTACCCAGACTTGATCTCCAGTACTAAAAGCACGTTCCTTAGAATGTTCATCATGATAGGTTTTCTGACTCGTTTGACATTTCTTGACCCAATTTCTGACCTCAGGTCTCACTAGATCAAGTTTGGCTCTGATACGCCGTCCCATCAGAAGTTCCGATGGTGAGACTCCCGTTGTAGTGTGCGGAGTTGACCGATAGGCTAGTAGAAATCTACTCAATTTCCGGGTTAGGTTGTCCTCAGAGTTTTGCATTTTTTTCATACCTTCCTTGAAGATGCTGACCGACCTCTCCGCAAGCCCATTTGATGAAGGATGGTGGGGGGATGTCTTTACATGTAACACTCCATTCTCAGACATGAATGCTGCGAACTCTTTGCTAGTAAAGCATGAACCATTGTCTGACACCACCATCTCAGGTAAACCATGGGTTGAGAGACATTCTCGCAATTTGTCAATTGTCACTGCTGATGTTGACGTTTTGGTAGGGTATACGTCTAACCATTTGCTGTACGCGTCTACAATGATGAGAAACATCTGACCTAAGAATGGACCCGCATAGTCCACTTGAATTCTAGACCATGGCCGTTCAGGCCAATCCCATGGATGGAGGGGGCAACTGCAGGAATCGAACCTTGTGCCTGACAATCCTGACATCCCTCGACCTTACTCTCAATGTCTCTATCGATCCCTGGCCACCAGAAGTAGCTCTGTGCCAATTTCTTCATACGGACCATTCCAGGATGTCCCTAATGAAGTTCCTCTAACAATTGTTTCTGTCCAATTGTAGGAATTACTATGCGTGTTCCCCACATAACACATCCGTCATAAGAACTGAGTTCTGTTCTACGTGAATGAAAGGGTTTCAATTCTTCCTCACCACATTTTTCCCTCCAACATGTTTGTACATAGGTTAGCACTCAACTCAGAAGTAAGTCTTTGGCTGTCTAAGACTGGATATTTTGGAAATCTGCTGGAGTACTGCCCAGATAGTTGATCAGTAGAGTTTTCTCCCCTGGAGTAGGTATTTCACCAACTGTGTCCTGGAGGGGTAAGCGACTTAATCCGTCTGCATTGCCATTCTTGGATCCTTCCTTGTATTGTAAGTCATACTCGTACGTAGATAAGAGTAAAGCCCATCGTTGAATCCTGGCCGATGCCATAGTAGGTGTAGATTTATCTGCCCTAAGTAACCCTAATAGGAGTTTGTGATCCGTGTAGAGTACAAATCTGCGTCCGTACACGTATTGGTGGAACTTCCCGACTCCAAATATGAGAGTAGCGCCTTCCTTATCGATTTGTGCATAATTACGTTCTGCTGGTGCTAGTGTATGCGAAGCGTAAGTGAGGGGTCGTTCCCTACCCTGTACTCGATGTGAGAGTACTGCCCCAAGTCCATAGGGTGAAGCATCACACGAGAGTATCAGTTCCTTATTTGGGTCAAAATGCACTAGCAAAGCATCCGATAGCAGCATCTCTTTGGCACGTGTAAAAGCTTCAGTTTCCTCTTTTCCCCATTTCCATTTGCTGTCCTTTTTGAGTAGTGAGTATAAAGGTGACAACACACTACTAAGGTTTGGCAAATAACATGCATAATAGTTCAGAAGGCCTATAAATGCTTGAAGATCTTTGACATTCTGGGGTGCAGACGCCTCCTTAATGGCTCTGACTTTCTTGGCTATGGGTTGGATTCCCATGCTGTTGATTCTGTGTCCCAAGTAGACTGCCTCCTCTGCCAGAAATACACACTTTGTCTTTTTCAATCTCACTCCTGCTTTGTCTAACCGATCAAGTACTGCAGATAGGTTTTTCAGGTGATCTAGTTGATCCCTCCCCGAGATTAGGATGTCATCTACTCTGACTACAACATGCGGTATTCCCTGTAGCAAGTTTTCCATGACACGTTGGAAGATACCGGGACTCAACGATAGTCCATAAGGTAGACGGTTGTATTGGAAAAGCCCCTTATGTGTGTTTATTGTTGTATACCTCTTAGACTCCTAGTCCAATTCCAGCTGTTGATAGGCTTGGCTAAGATCTAACTTGGTGAAGTGTGATCCGCCGCCCAAAGATGCATAAAGGTCCTCTGTTTTAGGAATAGGATAATTGTCTTAAATTGACTTTGTAATCATCACATATCCTGAAGCTACCATCTCCCTTGACGATGGGAACGATGGGCGTGGCCCATTCGGAAAATTCCACAGGTGAGATAGTTCCTTCGGACACCAAACGATCCAGTTCATGCTCTTTCTTGTCCCTTAAAGCATAAGGTACAGGCCTAGCCTTGAAGTACAATGGTTTCTGAGAGTTGTCCACATATAACTTGGCAATTGTTCCCTGGATAGTACTTAAACCATTCTTAAATACAGATTTATGTTTTCTCAAAATGTTATCAATCTGATCCCCTGGTGGATCTTGCTTGACTTGAAATATCTGGCTCCAGTCCAACTTTGCCTTAGAAAGCCATTTCCTTCCAAGTAGACTAGGGTAGTCTCCCTTTACAACAACTATAGTCAGTGTTTCTGTATAGTCTCCATATTTCAATTAGACCTTCCCCTCACCTCTTGTTGGGATGGGTTCACCAGTTTGAGTCTTTAACTTCACTGCAGTGTTTCTAAGCTTCACCGGCCTACCATTTTTGTTGATCTCTGCCAATGTGTTATCTCCAATCACTGTGACGACAGCTCTTGTGTCTACCTCCATAGATACATTCTGGTTGTTGACCTGTAGGGTCACTTCATATCTATCTGTTTTACCGACTTGGTTTATGTTGCACATGGAATATATACACTCCTGATCGTCTGTCCTGTGGTCAGTTGACTGTAGCATATGTACTGGAGTTGATTTATGCTGTTTACCTTTTGTATCTTTGTTTCGCAGTCGACTCAGGCATTTTCCCTTTATGTGACCCTTTTTCTTACAGTGAAAACATTTGCTGTTCTTAAAACGACAAGTTTTTGGGTCATGATTTCCTCCACACCTATAACATGGTTTTTGGTGACCTTGTTGACCTTGAGACTGGCCTCTATACTGACCTTGACCTTTCTTACCGTGACGTGCGCTGTGATTGTTACTGTGACCGCGATTATTATCACTAAAGACTTTGTTGACATTGTTCTGTCCCTCGGACCTCAATCCGTGTCCCTACAAATCTATGACATTTTTCGCTGCTGTTTCCATTGACAACGATATTTCATATGCCCGTTTAAAATACAGTTCTTTCTCAGATAAAAGACGTCGCTGTATTCTGTCTTCATTAACACCACATACTAGTCTATCTCTAATCATGGTTTCAAGCGTCGTGCCGTATTCACAATGTTCTGATAGATTTCTCAGTGCCGCTATATAGTCAGAAATGGACTCACCTTCTTTCCTGAAGCGATTGTTAAATTTGTATCTTTGCACTATCTCTGATGATAGGGAGGTCAGCTAAAAAATGAACCCCCTAGAAAACATTTTAAAACATGTTTTTAGACAGAACTCAGAGAAAGAGAAATTTTGGTGCAAAAATTTTGGAAATCGGTTGTGGGATTCAAAAGTTACATCAATTTTTGTACCTCGAAAAGCGGCCATTTTTCTGTTTTCGGCAAAAAGTCCCTAAAAGAGGCATGTTTGAGGCCTTATATCTGAAAATGTGGTTATGATATGTATTGTCTGATTGTTGTAGGGTGCCAAGTTCCCCTTATGCTTCAAAAAGAAACATTTACTTAGTTTAGATGGGGACAGATACAAAAAAAATTGGCGTCTGAACATGAGGAATTATTCGTTTGGACTTTTTTTTTGCGAAATGTGTCGGCACCCCCCTTTGCTAAACTACCACTTTTGAAGAACTTTATCTCAAAAAGTAATCACCCAATTTAGCCAAATCTCCTTATTTTTACAGATAACAATGCATTTTCTTGAAAAACAATGCCAGTTAGGGTTTAAGATATATTTTTTTTAATTTTGATATCCAATACCCTGCGCAGCCCCTTTTTGAGACGAAATCGAAAATTTAAAAAAAAATCACCTTTTTGATGCAGAAAAACTTAAAAAAAAAATCTGTAATTTTTTTTATCTGGTGTTTCTTGTTGATCTTTGTATGTTTTATAGGAAAATAAGTAATATTTCCCCCCAAAAAATTTTTTGAAAGCAACAGCTCCAAATATATAGCTGCCAAAGAGGTCTATTTTTAGCCCCGAAAAGAAGAAAAATAACATTTTCAGCCCGAAAAGATCTTCAAATAATCCAAGGTGGTAATAAAATGAAAATTTATATCAGAATGCTTATTTCTACATACAAATGATCAAGTTTTAACTCAAACAACAATTTTTAGCAACATTTAAGGTTGTTTTTCTATGTTTTTGAACATTTTGGATAAATCCTGAAATTCGTGTTTAATCGTGAAATGCGAGAAGAATATAAACAAATGTATGGTGTATTAGGTATCATTTTAAAGCTAGAAATATGTAGAATGCAATTAGCACAAATTTGTACCTCTATTTTTTAACAGCACCAAGTATTTCTATAAAAACCTAGCCTTACCCCAAAATCAAACATTCTCGGAAGGTGAAAATATCCCCCAATTTTTACTTTTACAAACAATATCATTAGAGAAAACATGTTGTTGTTGATATTCTTTCACCTTTTATAAGCCTTAAGAGCTGATACATTGGTTATTCTTGTCTTTATAAGTTAATCCTTAAGAGAAAAGCACACAAAATAGGTAAATCTGTCATTATCTAGCATAAGTTACTCTTATTCAGCCTCTTATGAGTCATCAAATATGGTATAAATTATCTCTTGATGTGTCATATCAACAGTGATTGGTAAACAGAATAAAAGATGTCACAAGGGAATTTTAATTGTAATTTAAATACATAAGTGAAGTCATTGCATTTACAAACAGTGTTTATGATTTGTATTTTGACTTATGTTTTAAATATCAACGGAATCACTTCGCAAACGCAGCGATTGTTACGAATGTTTTAAATATAAACGGAATCATTTCATAAACGCAGCGATTGTTACGGATGTTTTAAATATAAACGGAATCACTTCGCACACGCAGCGATTGTTACGGAGAAAAAGGACGAAAAGTTGACGCTATCTTGCTGCAGGCTTTGTTGTTCTTTTTTTTTGAACCTGAAAAATATTCTAAAAGAAATAAAAACATATAATATTTGAACAGGCTATGTATGCAGTTATTACTATGTCATCACACTACATAGTGCGAGTGCAGTAATTTTGCATTAGTTTATTAACAGTTAATGTAATTAACAAGGATATCATGGAAATACCAATAAAATGATACATCCCAATAGTGTTAATTTATTCAATAATAAGTTGATAAATTATGTATTAGTTTATAGCAAATCCTGTCTAACACATGTGGAATTTAAATGATTTAGAAAATATTTTCCTTTGGCCTGATAATGTTTGGATCCCGCTTTAAATGAATCACGTGTTTCGGCCAGTACAAAGTCGGGATATATCCCATCATATAACTGTTGCTCTTGTATTCCTTTATAAAATTTGGTAAAAGGTTTTTCAAAACATTTTTGGGTTAGACAGAATTCACTTTATATTAATACTGTATGACAGAGAGGGTTATCTGAAATTCAATGCATGAATACAGTAAATGTCCTACAAAAGGCATTATGATTAAGTCTTTTGGCCTACAAGTGAAGAAATATGAGAAAACAGACATTTACATAAACCTGAAACAAAATTATAATACAATAAAAAAATATCCTACAAAGAAAATAAAACAATAGAAAATATCCTACAAAAGAAATTAATGAAAAATTTCCTACAAAGAAAAGAAACTAAACAAGAATTCTGACATCGCCGTTCTGGTAGTCTTCTAGTAACGGTTCCTCAAACACGTTACAGGGCTCCTCCTCGTCGTCTTCATCATCGTCTTCCTCACCAGCATCCTCGTAGTCATATATGATGGTATACAAACTTGTATTAACATCATAACTAGAGACCTTACCAGTGTACCATATCGTCTCTCCATCCTCCTCCCGTCGAAACCTATGATCAATAAGTCTGCCTACAATAAAATCAGGATCTAATGAAACAACACGAAGCTCACCCTCCTTCATGTCATCTAACAATGGAAAACTGTAAATCTCGACCTCTCCATCATACACTAACGAATAAACATATTTACCTCGCCTTACCTTTAACCCCGTTACAATACCGTAATACCATTTATCACTTCCATCAGGGTCATGTGTCTCTGGAACAGCTGAACTTGCAGAGCCAACTGTCGTCTTCTGTCGCTTTGGTGCCTTAGATATCTTTTTGCGTTCATCCTCTGCAAGTCGCTGAAACCTAGCCTTTTCTTCCTGAAAGCATAAACTTGATAACCGGTTAATAGGTCTTATATTACCTCTCCACTTTCATCAGGTCTGGCCTCATCTTCCCTAAGGACACACTTAAGGTTGGCGGATAACTTCTATGCACTTTTGTCTAAGTTGGTCAACCAGGTGGAAGTATGGTTTTGTGTCCACATCGTGATCCCTTCGATGGCGTTTGTTGTGGCCCTGGGCATTACACGAATCAAGTTGTCCAACTCAGCGAAGATTCTCTCTGGTCCAACATTTGTCTTTGGAACGGTGGCTGCATCTGCAAGAAGCTCAGAAGACCAGTTATTAAAATACTTACCTCCCTCCAAATGATCTTTTAACTGCCTGTTACAAACCACTACAAATGAAGAAAAAAGAAGCTCTAGTGCCTGAACAGTTAGAGCATCTAATTGTTCAGATGGACTTACCAAACACTCATATACCTTATCCTTCTTGACTGACTCTTCACCAAGCAGAAACTCCTCCCCCTTGAGTAGTGCTAAATAATCACTGGACAGTTTAACAAATGCATCATGCAACCTCTGGTACACTGGGGACAACTCACTCACATGCCCTTCCTTCGCTAGAAACCTCCATATAGGTCTTGTAACCATCTTGGAAATAATACCCAATGTTCGGGCACCTGCCTGAAAAGACAAAACTTGCAAATCTGCATTAATAGCGGCAAAAAGCTTATTATCTGCTCTATGTTCTTCAGTAAATGTAAGAAGATCATCAAGCAGATAACACAATCCAGCTGAATTATGAAATAAAATATTGAACCTATTACCTTTAAAGGAAGCCAGAGGTACCTCTTTTACCTGTCCTCAAGTCTGTAAAAAGTCTCTAAATTCAACTGGCTTCCCGGACTTTTCACAACCACGGTTCTGTACTGCCTTGCAAACAGTCCTCACCATTCGGGTTGTCCCAGCCTCTCCCGACTTACTGTATCCCCCTGGAAGTGTAAGGGCACCAACCTTCTCACCAGAATGAACAAGACCCTCCCATAAAGAAAGAGTCTTGTTTGCCTGCTCTGAGAGACCTACAAGAAAGTGTAAACCACAAAAGAAATAATTAACTGCACTATACCTTTCCTCCTGATCGTCAGATAAGGTTTCCCAGTTACCAACTACATGCGGCAAAGCCTTCTCTCTCCATTCTGACAAAAGGGTTACAAACTTCTTATTCACACTCGACTGGTCAATCACCGTATTCTTTATCTTTGCCGCAATACTCCTCATCTGCTCACTATCGTCTCCTGTCATCTCAGACACAATACTCTCAAGCAGCTTCTGGTAGGCCTCAGCATCACCACACGTCATGTCTCGCATACCCATACACATAAACTTACTTGATAAAGAAACAGAAATGGCCCCATAATGGTGCCCAAACTTAGTTGTCCCATCAGGACCTATTGTTAAATTACCTTCTGCATAATGTAACTCTTCCTTTAAGTGAGAAAGAGCCACACTCCGTGCCTCCAAAAGCATGTACTTGGCGAAGGTCTGGCCAGGCAACCGTTGTGGGGAAACTCTGGTCATCTTCTCCATCACTGTCCAGATGTTCTTCTGCACATTCCTTGCTCCAACTCTCATACACATCAGTTCCATATATACTTCCCTAACTGTGTCAGTATAGCGCCCCTCCTGGAATGTCACAACATCCTGCTGAGTAAGAAAAGACTCCATCTGCTCCTTGCAATCTAAATACTGCCCCTGCCAGAATTCCACCTCCTGCTGGAGCTCATGTATTTTCCTAGAAGAATGATCAGAGGAGTCATTTATAGTCCCCACCCCCTTATAGTACCTTACCTGCTCTTTCAAATTTCTTTTCTCACGGTCAAGTTCCTAGACTTTAACACTCAGCTCTTGGATCGTTTTCTGGTTTTTCTCCTGTTGCCTCAGCAGATCTCTTCTGTCCTTTCTTACCTTAGCTACCTCACTTTCGTAGTGCTCCTTCAGGCGCCTTACTGACTTCAGTGTCCCAGCCTTTGCAGCAAGTCTTGTCTGCAGGGTCACCAAATCATCACGATGCTGTTGTACCAACTCAGCTCTCTCGTGACTCTTCTGCTCTATCTCACTCTCCAGGGCCATCTTACCATCTGTTAATTCTTTCACCTCAGTCTGTAATAGGCTTAAATAATTTGTTAGGGATTCAACCACCCCCTTTAATTCTACAAGGATACTTACATTTCTTACCCTTATATCAAGGTCCTTTAACTTATTCAACAAGGGGTCAATCTCTTGAGCACCGCTACTCTCAGGTTGACCAGCTACGACAAACATCTCTGCCCTAAAAGTAATATAGTCTACCATTTTCTTGTTCTTTTTCAGCTTTTTCAACTTCTCTGCATCCCTTTTTACCTTCTGAAATAGAACATGCTGTTCTGTGTCTGTCATCTTGTTAACCTGAAAAAGAGCCTTAACCACTTCATAAAACTTACCCTTCCAATTATCTGTAAAATACTTACCCAGGTACTGCTGTATTTCAACTAGCAGTCCCTTGGTCATCAGGCTGCCTGGTATACCCCTCACAGCTCTCATAGTGATGAGATCAACCTCGGTCAACCCTGCTGCCTTACATTCTGGTAAATACTCTAACTCCTCAATGGTCTTGGTGTCCGGATACAACAAAGAACAATCCTGAAAAAGAAGAGAAGAATCTACCTTTTGGAGGTAGTCATTAAGGTATTGGTAGACAGGAATGGTGGCTTCACTGTCTACCATACTTACCAACTGGTGAAGGTCTGGCAACATGACAGACACATCACACGACACTTTCCTCTGGGCATAGTCCAATATACTCTTCATTCCACCTGTAAAATGAATTGAAATGTCAAAAAAGTATTCTGGGAAAGTTTATTTTGTAAACATTTAATACTAATTAATAACATGATTCAAGTTCTACATGTATTCTTTTAACAACTTTGGTTTGAGAGACTTATATGAAATGTAATACTTCCCCAAACTTAAAATCTAAATTTGCACCTGAAACACTTAAAAGTTGACAAGACCAATAAAAATTAAATTCTGTCCACTCAGGAATAAAGTTTCTTCCTTATAGGGTCTCTGTCACTTTTCTTACATTGAAATAAACATCAATGTTAAGATTTAACAGTAATAAAAATTGTTATCTAATTAATTCAGTGACAGTATTGAAAAAAGGTAAAAACAATTTATCACATACTTACCAAACTGCAAATAAAAAAAGTGTATTGGAATGTAAATAAAACTTATCATACTTACCAAAAATTAAAATGAAAATCAGTGTATCAGAGTCTGTAAACAAACTAAAAAGAAAATAAATCAAAATAAGAATAAGGATATTTTTTTAAAGAAAAAGATCTTTTTAAACTAAAAATGGAATGAAATAAGTCACAATTATTCTTCTTCCTCTGAAAAATATGACAAATTAAAAAGAAACCAAAATAAGGTAAAATAAACTTAAATTAATAAAAGAGATTTTAAAAAGTGTCATTAATTAGCAAAACAATTAAAAACAAAGAATTTCAACAAAACAAAAAAAAAAAAAAAACTTTCTGTCACTTCAACAATACCCCCTTGCATTGATGAAGAAGGGCATTTCCTACATTCAGAAGGAATTTAACAACAAAGATATAGACCAAAATCAACTTTCTGAGTTAAGAAGAACAGGCTAGTTAGGAGAGAGTATAATCATGATATTTTACAGAGAAAATTGTTTTCTCATCAAATTTTCATCCATTTATTTCAAGGAAAATAATTTGTATATGTGTCTTAACAAGACTCAAGACATAAAACACGGTTCTGTGTTCAGAAAATGTTTTTTATGCCCTCAAACATATTTTTCTTAACCACAGCAACTATTCCCACCTTTTTTCCTTTTGAAATTTTGTTCTAGAACATACTTTTATATAAATCCTGAAGAAAATCGAATGTTTTCT